GATCGGAGGTGCTGCGAGTACGAGTCTATCTATCGTTCAATGTTGATTAACATGTTTTTGGCCCCTGTTGTTGACTCACGTTCAATCAGTCGTGTTGTGTGGTGTGTGGTGTGTGCTGTGGGGGGCCTAGTGGTTGATGTAATGCTGCCATTGTTGTCGAGGTCGCGACACACTGAAACACTAAAGAGCCAACGAGTGAGCGAGGGGGTTACGGGGCCATAGAGCATACAGCATACGGCATACGGAATACGGCATATAGGACATGTAAACGAAGCGGGGGATACGTAGGTTTAATGCCTTCGTGCCAGGCATTTTGAATGGAATTTCAACTCCGTTCCATGAGATACTGCCACTCGTAGAAAACCGGTTCGGTTCAACGAAAGCGAAAAAATAGCGCACGAAAATAAACAAAGTATTTTCTTGTTTTGTGTGTTTGTTTGTGTTTTTCCTAATTTGCTTTATTACGTGTTCATGGGACCAGGTGACATTGCAATGTGGGTTGCCATTACCTCACCCCAGAACCCTGGTCGTACTTTGTCTTTGGCGGCTTTCCCCCTAAAAGCTGAGCAAACAAGCCAACAAACAAAACAATCTTCAAGTCGGTTAGCATCTATCTTCCCCTCCCCCCCAGCCCCAGCCCCCCACTCCCGTCTTGCTGCTAATGAACTTCATTTGCTGTAAATTGACTTTAAGTGACAATGACTAAGCCTTGTCGAAGGCAAGACAACGATACAGTAGATACTCGAAGCTTGGAATACCCTTTGGAAGATACCCAATAAATACGAAACGATGAACACCATCTACAGATCCCATATGAAACGAAGTCCTCATTGCTTTCTTCTCTACTGAAACAGAGGGTATTACTCCCGACTCACACGCACCGAAAGACGGCCGCTCATTAACAAATATTTCGCGAGTTTTTTTTTGGTCATAATTATCATTAGGCAGAGTTCTCTCGTTCAGGCAAATGATGTGAAGAGGCACCAAAAACTGGACTCGTAGAAAGTTGTTTCTTTTTTGTTTTGCCACAAAACCCAGAAATCAAATACATTTTGGCAATTCCACGGGGGTCACGTGTGATCTGCGATGGCGTCTAGCAAACGGAAATCAATTAACGATTATTGTGCGGCACCTTATCGACGGTGTGCTCCACAGTCTCTAGGGGGAGTGCAGGTCCACAAGCAGAACTTATAGCCCTGTTCCACCTTCCACCTTCCAATAAGACCCAAACAGAGACGATTATGGAATCTTAATGGAAAATCAGCTGTTTCTTACATATTTCTTTGCAATTAAACGGCATATTGCCAATCACGCGTGAACGTAACATCTGTAAATGGGAATGCCCATTTTTGTTTGAATGGCAGATCATTTACACTGATAGCTTGTGCTCGAGGAGTGGCTCCATTGCGATCGGACACAGTGACTGAATGACTGGCCCCAGGGCGGGGGAGCGCCTCTGTGTATCGAGGGGGAGCGATAACGTGTAAATTACGGTGTAAAGAAGTCGCCCCATAAATGTGACACAACAATTCTGGGATCATTCCGCTGGATCTGGTGCTGTAACTCTTTTTCGATTATGTTCTCTCCTCATCCCCTCATACCCCCCGCACCTGCTGATTCCCTGCCTGTTGGGTCTTATCATGGAACGACTTTTCATTATCTTTGTGGAATTTGATATACTATTTGTTGTACAAGTTATTACTTAAATGGCAATTGCCACATAATTCCCGGCGCTGATACAATGCCTATTAAAAAACCAATTACGTTTAAATATCATGTCTCTGTCTCTCTATCGGAGGGGTACAACAGGGTACTATCCTCTCTGCCACACACATGCATACATACATATCTCTCTCGACAGCCCTCTCTCGGTGTCGCCGTCTCTCTTTTTGCATTTGGCCAAATATTATCGATGCGTAAGCAATTCCCCAAAATGGTTCTTAACACTTGAGCAGAATGTTCGTGGGTTGGCAAGGGTTGCCCTGCCGCCTGGGAGGGGAAACCCTAAACCCACCATGACTCAGGCGAAAACATAAAAGCTTACATAATGCTTTCATTTTTGAAACGTTTCAACATGAGTCACAAAAACTATTGGTAGTCCATTGAATATCCCATATCTGATGCGCCCTGGCCACCCTGTTGCAGAGAGCAGCACCACCTGAAACTGAAACTCGGCTGTAATCACATACGCTCCCATTGGTATTGAGGTAATACACATATATGCTCCTACAGTTATTGATATGGGCTGACGAATGGACTCGATTCAGGCCACAGCAAGGTGTCGCTCACTCGCTCACTCGCCGCTCGCCTCTCGCCGCTCACCTCTCGCCGCTCGCCTTATCAGTCTCCCAACGAAATACCAAAAATGTTTGCGCATACATGCACACACAATGAAATGTGTATAACAGGTACTATGTATCACAGAGTATCTGATTAATTGGGTGAAACATCGAAATGGAAATGCATTTCGAGAAAACCACTAAAGCCCCGCAAGTTTTAAGTTTCTTTCTTTTAGTTGGGATCGCTTTGAGTAGAGTGAGTAATCCGGTGTATTGGCAGGGTGCACTCTCTCATGATTCAGGATGGGCATGACGACGCGTCATTCTTCTATTGAATGGTATAGGCTCTCTCTATAGGTTCTCTCTCTCTCTCTCTAGCGCCCGCTCTCGCTCTTTCTGTGCTCCGATAAAGCTGTAAAAAGCGCTGTGCGATTTACACAAGGCTCTGGGTCTGGGCTCTGATAAAAGAAAAGGCATAAATAGTCCATGGCACTCCAGTACTCCAGTTAGTACTCAGTTCCAGCTTGTCCCGGGTGTATGCACGACCGTACGTAGCGGTATTTAGCGAACAAATCCTTGGCTGTCTCTCTCTCACGCGCTCGCTCTCTCGCTGCCGTATCACTCGTTCGTTTCGTACGATCTCTCGCTGCGATACCTAAATAACGGTTAACCCGACTGTCCGCCTGTGTGCCATTCCATTCCGTTCGTAGTTCTTGCCGGTGCTCCATCCACAGCGATCGTGTCGTGCGCGCCTCCACCTGATCTCCGATCCACTTTGACCCTTCCTTCGTGTGCGTGCGTGAGTGCGTGCGTGTGTGTGCGTGCGAATCAATTAACTCAATTTTTTTTGTTGTTGTTTATCTTTGCTGAACCATTAGGCAAATCGGGCCAAACAAATACAGTAATTCCCAGTGCAAATCCATCGCATCGCAGAAATGGCCGATATCCAGACCACCGAGGAGTACAGGCAGCACCTGGAGGAGATTCTGCCCGATGTAGGTGTCCCCGTAGGAGTATATCTTTGCGAGTTTTATTACTCACGATTTGGGGACTCACGTAATCACAGACTTTGTTGCCTCTCGCTCGCTCTCGCTCTCGCTCTCTCTATCGGTGCTTCTTGGCGCACTTTATGGCTTTTTAATCGATAACACAGACACACACCACCGTACGGTGAACACCCCTACAGTGAACACCTGCGATAAAGTGCACGCGCTTCCACTCCAGAAATCAAAATCACTTCCGTTGGATGTCAGTCATAGAATTATGTGTACCCATTCCTCGATTTTGCCTATCAATATGTGGCATGTGTTGAGACACCCCCCCACCCCCCCCCACCCCTCCGCCCCGCCCACTGGAGGCACCACCAGCCACCCCCTGATATCATTACCATATACGTAATCGAGTGCTGTTTTCGATTTTATGTTCCCTCATCTTTTTTTTGTTTTTCGGCGCACACAAACATTTATCTTATCGGCAAACAGCAAAAGCGGAGCAATCAGCGAGCCACCCCACACCCCAACACCCCATCCGATCCCACACAATTTGGCAAAGCACCACCCAAAAGCCCCATAAATTCCAGAGTCCACCGAAAAGCATTTCACACCAAAGACAAACCCTGACCGGCTTTGCCGGGCCCTGCCCAAATGTTTGGTTTTCCCCCGGAATAAGGCGATTAGGAGGCCATTGGGTTCGGGATATTCGCACAATCTGGTCACATTACCATGTGTTCAACCTCTGGCCATTATAGGCCACACTTTCGACTGAAAGGCACTGCTGCATGACGCGCGTAAAAAGCTCAAAAGATTACAGATTTCATAACTAAAGAAGGATTGTTGGGAAACTATGAATGAATAAAGGAATATTGAGGGTTTGTGTGAGGAGTGAGGAGTGGATTGATGGGTTTATGGACTAATTGCTGATAGAAAAACCGACTTTTCTTAGTCATCGAAGACATTGTATTGTGCATCCCATAGAGGGGATTATACACAGAAACAGTAATCCGTTGGGGCACTCGAGAGACTGCTGTTTCTCGAGTGATTCATTGGATAACTTACAGAGAAAAATGTGTGTTGTGGCTTTCACTTTTTGGGGAATCTGTGGCCTGGCCAAGAGCCATGATTGCACACTCTCGATCCACTCTGGGCTCCACCTCCACCTCCACCTCCACACACGACCCAGCACCCACCTCTGCACCATATAATTTCGAATGAACAGTTTCCAATGATATGCCAGTCAGTCAGGTGAAAGATACTTCGCCACACGGGGACGGGACGGGGAGATCTGAAGGAAAAAAAATGGAAATTAAATTCGATAAGGCGGCAGCAGTGGAGCACACAGAGACGCAGGCTGATAGATAAGAGTGGGGGCCGGCCATGGTGGGGCTGGGGCAGGGGGTGTTCAGATAGAACAAAACAAATTTTTCATACCTGTGCTGCATGGTTGAAAAATGGCAAAAGATAAACCAGCAGGCGCCCCAATGGATATGGGAATGGGGGTATGGGAATGGTAGCTAGCAAAACAGCAGCACATTGGCGGAGCGGCATCTGCTTAGCATTTCGATTCGATTGATGAGTCAGAGAGATGGTCAGAGCGTCGATCGATCCAGTGACCCAACCAGCAACCAGCAACAGGCAACCAGCAAACGTCAAGTGCCCGACGGGTGTTAGTCATCGGAATGGATTACTCATTGATTTGTTTGGTTTTCGCTTTGGTCATTTGCAGCTGGACGCCAACAAGGACGGCTTCATCGACCTGCACGAGCTGAAGGATGCCCTCAATCAGGTGGGATTCAAGCTGGCCGGCTATCAGGTGCGCGAGATGATCGATGAGTTCAAGAGCAAACAGAGGACGGCGCACCAGGGCAAGCTGAATCTGGAGGAGTTCGAGACGCTGTGCCTGGACCTGAAGAGCAAGGACGTGGCCAGCACGTTCAAGACGGTGGTGTCCAAGAAGGAGAACCTGGAGACGCTCGGTGGCATGTCGAGCAGCTCGTCCGAGGGCACAACGCACTCGGTGCGGCTCGAGGAGCAGCTGGCCTTCTCCGACTGGATCAACTCGAATCTGGGACACGACAAGGACCTGCAGCATCTGCTGCCCATCGACAGCGAGGGCAAGCGGCTGTATCTGAGCATCAAGGACGGCATCTTGCTGTGCAAGATCATCAACCACTCCTGCCCCGACACCATCGACGAGCGCGCCATCAACAAGAAGAACCTGACCGTCTACAGGGAGTTCGAGAACCTGACGCTGGCCCTCGTCTCCTCGCAGGCCATCGGCTGCAACATCGTGAACATCGATGCCCACGACCTGGCCAAGGGCAAGCCCCATCTGGTGCTGGGTCTGCTCTGGCAGATCATCCGCATCGGCCTCTTCAGCCACATCACCCTGGACAGCTGTCCCGGCCTGGCCGGCCTCCTCTTCGACAACGAGCGGCTCGAGGACCTCATGAAGATGTCCCCGGAGGCCATTCTTCTCCGCTGGGTCAACCACCATCTGGAGCGTGCTGGCATCCGGCGCCGGTGCACCAACTTCCAGTCGGACATCGTCGACTCGGAGATCTACTCGCATCTGCTCAAGCAGATCGCCGGCAACGACGCCGACGTCAATCTGGATGCGCTGCGCGAGGCCGATCTGCAGTCGCGCGCCGAGATCATGCTCCAGCAGGCGGGCAAGCTCAACTGCCGCAGCTTCCTCACGCCCCAGGACGTCGTGAACGGCGTCTACAAGCTGAACCTGGCCTTTGTCGCCAATCTGTTCAACAACCATCCCGGCCTGGACAAGCCCGAGCAGATCGAGGGACTCGAGTCCATCGAGGAGACGCGCGAGGAGAAGAGTAAGTGCAGTCGAGTGCGACCGCATGGCGTCGGCATGCAGTTTGATTTAACGCCTTTTTGTCCTCGTTTCGATCAGCTTACCGCAACTGGATGAACTCGATGGGCGTGTCTCCGCACGTGAACTGGCTGTACTCGGATCTGGCCGATGGCCTGGTCATCTTCCAGCTGTTCGACGTCATTAAGCCGGGCATCGTCAACTGGAGCCGCGTCCACAAGCGCTTCACGCCGCTGCGCAAGTTCATGGAGAAGCTGGAGAACTGCAACTATGCCGTCGATCTGGGCAAGCAGCTGAAGTTCTCTCTGGTCGGCATTGCTGGCCAGGACTTGAACGATGGCAATGCCACACTGACACTGGGTAAGTGTCGCTCTCGCTCTCCCTCTCTCTCGCTGTCTGTGGAGCTTTGATTTTGATTTCTCGTTGTTGTGTAGCCCTCATCTGGCAGCTGATGCGCGCCTACACCCTGTCGATTCTGTCGCGACTGGCCAACACCGGCAATCCGATCATCGAGAAGGAGATCGTGCAGTGGGTGAACAACCGCCTGGCGGAGGCCGGCAAGCAGTCGCAGCTGCGGAACTTCAACGATCATGCCATTGCCGACGGTAAGATCGTGATCGATCTGATCGACGCGATCAAGGAGGGCAGCATCAACTACGAGCTGGTGCGCACCAGCGGCACGCAGGAGGTGAGTGCTCTCATACGGCTACCAGGTCGGAAACGATACTCATTATTGATTATTCCCGCAGGACAATCTGGCCAATGCCAAGTACGCCATCTCCATGGCCCGCAAGATCGGTGCCCGCGTGTACGCCCTGCCCGAGGACATCACCGAGGTGAAGCCAAAGATGGTTATGACCGTCTTTGCCTGCATGATGGCCCTGGACTATGTGCCCAACATGGACAGTGTCGACCAGAACAACCACAACAACAGCACCCCCGTCGTTGCCACCAACAACAGCAATTAGCAAACGTCAAACGGCAAACCGCAAAAACAACTCAATTACAAAATATATAAAACAAAATGAAGGAATTATGGATAAGAACGAGATTGAGAATTAGAAAGAAGGGAAGACTAAACCAGGCGTTTCGTATTTGCTAATTTACTCTAAAGCTATAAAATTGTAAACAATTGCACCCCGCGTCCTCCCCCCCTCCTCAAGCTCCCACCCCCCCAGATTGTTCTTCTAACGTTAATTTTTTTTTATTATTCATCGCTTTCGATTACTTGTTTTATTATGTATTTATATATATGCGAGGGCCCCCAATTGTAATTAAGCGAAACATTTTGAGAGAATGCCGCGCATCTTTTTTGGGTGCCTGCGGCGGCGACGCTGGCGGCGGCGGCGGCTGCGAGTTGAATGTTTCTTTATTAGATTTGTTTAACAATCGTTTAAGTTATTCAGCCACATAGCAAACAGCAACTGCAACCCCCACGGTAACCTTATTTTATAAATAAAGGTACTACTGCGTATCTGTGCCTGCTATAAACACGAGGCAAAGATTTACGTGCAAGATTAAGGAGAAATGAAAGATGTAATATTAGCAAACGAAATGAAGAGAAAACAATTAACTTTGTAATATATATACAAAAATATATTTATATAAACGATAACGATATGCGCCTATATACATACATACATTCATACATACATAAATAGCATATATAAAGATATATATTTTTGCATAAACGCGTTGCCAGATCGGAGAGACAAGGGAACACGGAAGCACGAAAGCACGGAAACACGGGAAAGGAATTCAAATCGGAAAACGAACGAGGGAATATGATATGATACGATGGAGGAATAATTAACTTTGTATTTAGCTTTTTTTTGCAAGTAATTGTAAGCCGCTTTTGTTTATGTTTTTTTTCTACATTTGTTTAACTCTATTTCTATATAATTAAATACTTGTTTAACTTTGCGTTTAAGTGCGTTAGAGCGAGATGGCAGCAGGCAGCAGGCAAGCGCTTCCATGGCATAGAAAGAGCAAGCTATACACGGCGAAAGAAAGAAAAAAAAAACAAAAACGGGGCAAAGAAGGCAGAGAAGTGGAAGCCAACAAATTCTTAGTGCAATGAGGCGACAAACAAAAGATTAAAGAACCCAGAAACAGATATAGTAATAACCTATGCATAATGAAAGTAAAACAATAAAGTAAATATATGAAAAACAAACACCATAACTGTGTACATTACATTCTAGCAACCCCAAGAAGTACAAACTCCGCGGATAACCATGACCCTCAAATGTATGCATATTGAACGATAGCCATCATATTCTACCCGTCTGTTGGGTGGGTGAATTAGAGCTCTGCTTGGATCCATAGTATTCATAAGATCATAACTCATACTCAATGGCCTTCGATGCGTTCGATCAATACGAGTCCTGCCTTCAGTCGGATTCGAATCAATCCAAATCTATAATCCCTAAGATCTGAGAGGGCGAAGCAAATTTGTGTGTTGCTCTCTCGTTCTCTCTACCAGAAAGTCAAGTGTAGAGTGAGCGAGAAAGAAAACCGAAATCGATTGGGAACTGACACAGTAAAAATTGAATCCCATTGGTGAATCCCACCACATTCGATCCGCGTTGGGCGAGTGACTCGAAGTTATCTGAAAACTGATTCCCTGATTCTCTTGGACCGAACGAAGCGAGTCCCGAATCTCATCGAATCGATTCGGTGGCCCGTTCAGGCAGGGCTCTAGTGGGAATATACATACAATGTTCTTAAAGGCTTCAAAGGGTTTCTTCATTCTATAATTTTCCCTACTTCAACGGAAAGACTTTTTAAAGACCGTTTAGGTCCAGCATTGACGAACAGAGCGGGATAGAAAGTGATAGCCAGAAAAGATAATTGAAGTACCAGTACCACGAAGCCTCGAACGAAAACTGATGCCATTTCTTGTTACTTTTATAGTCGTTTGGTATTATTCATACATCTGAGATCATTCATGCGCAAATTCCACAACGTAAGAACATCGTATGTATGTACCTGTGCCCATGACTCAAATATGTATTTTGTGCGCACTCGTATGCCTTCAGCGTTTTCCACGGAAAGAGCGGTCTACAAGTATTCTCTATGGTTACTGATCCAAGATATGAAAAACGAAAATATTTATGGGTATGCGGCCAAGTTCCGTCATAAAACCATGCCGATAAGGAGAGTCGACCCATAATCGACTGGCAATCCACTGGGGTTTCGCATTCCAGCTATACGGTTTTTCGGACCCTCCATGCTATTATCGGAAAGCTTATCTGATAAGACAGTTCTCACGTGGCCGGTGACAACACGACAATGCCGCTTCCATTGAAGGGCAACGATAGAAATCACATTGGCAGGGACACCTGCAGAAAGAAGAAAGCATTATGGGAGTATGTGTGTTCTCTTTAAAGAAAATAATACATTTTAATCAAATATAAACTGCTAAATTCTATTCCATTGGGAAGAGAGGGAGAGAGGTCATTCTCTGGCCAGAGAAGTGTACAGGTGTCGTATGGAAGTGTTCTGGATGTCAGCGTTATACTTGATACTTTAAGACCTACCAGGACCGATTTTCTATATCCATTAACAATTTAACAACTTGTTCTTTCAAGTACAAAAGTACGTGGAACTTCTTCCTAGGTTATCGCTATTTTTTCAAATTCGTCAAGGGTTATCAAGTTAGCAACTTACCTCGTCGATTAGCTTGCTTCGGTTTTTCGACATATCATGCAAGAGATAATATTTTGTGTTTATAAAAAGATAAGACTTAAGCCAGAAGCTTGCAATTTTATCAAGCCCGTGTGCCTGCACTCTAATCGTGTTGTAAAATGGGTCGCAAGCGAAATCTATTGAGCTGTTTATCCCTAAAGAATATCGTTTAAGGTTAGGTTAGGTTAACCCGGACGGCCCTCAGCGGCCAGACAGTGACCTGTAAGTATTCCCACTAGCAATCTACAGTCTTTTCGTGATAGGTGCAGTAGGTAGTGGCTAAGTTTCTCGTTGCGTTCCTTGCACATTATCTTCGAGGTTTTGCAGGTGGTGGTACTGTTCCACCTGTTATCAGTCCGTGTTCTGGCCTGCTTCTCTAGATCGCATTGCATCGTTCTAAGGGAGACAGGCACGTTCTCGGTTTTCCTGTTCTCCAGCCCGACGCCTTCCTTAGCTATTACGTCCGCCGCTTCGTTTCCTTCGATGCCCTGGTGGCTGGGAACCCAATAGATCCACACTGTCTTTGTCGTGCTTAGGATGTCTAATGCCTCCCTGCTCGCCAAGACACTTCTGGAACTGACCGCGGACGACTGCATGGATCTTATCGCCGCTTGGCTGTCGACGAATAGGTTGACCGCATCGTGTGCTCGTTCTGTGAGGAGAGCGACCTCCGCTGCTTTCCCGATGGCAAAAACTTCTGCCTGGAATATGCTGCATTGGTCCGGTAGCTTATACGACAGCGTTATCTCAGGGTCTGTACAGTATAGGCCCGCTCCTACTCCTCCGTCCATCTTGGAGCCGTCTGTGTATATATTGAGGTGCTCAGTTTGGTCCCTTCCAATTTTCCAGTCTTCAGGTCCCAAAGATGTGGTTGTTTTGACGTCAAGGCAAGTTTGGGGGGTCATGTAATCAGTTGATCTGGTCATTTCCCTGCCGATTGAACTATGCCCGTATCCTTGTGGCGATAGATTTCCTGATGCTATGAGGCGTTGTAAGCCTTTCCCGCAATCAGGCGAGCGTGAATGTCCAGGGGGTCGATTCCGAGTACAGTTTCGAGTGCTTTTGTTGGGGTTGACCTCAGCGCCCCTGTAATACAGAGCAGAGCCTTTCGCTGAGTCTTTTCCATAAGCTTATGGTATGTCTTCTTTTCAGTAGCCTGCCACCACACTAAGGCTCCATACAGCAGAGTTGGTCGCACCACCGAGATGTAGATCCAGTGCATTAGAGCAGGTGACAGGCCCCATGTGCTGCTGAGCATCTTCTTGGATGCATAAAGCGCAATGGTAGCCTTCTTCACCCTTTCTACTACATTGGGCCCCCATGCCAGCTTGCTTTCCAGTACTGTGCCTAGGTATTTCACCTGTGATTTTGGGGTCAGCCTAGTTTGGTCAATTTTCGGGGGGGTCCATATCGATACCTTGTACCTCTTGGTAAAGAGGATGAGGTCCGTCTTGTCCGCGTTGATACTGAGTCCTACCTCTTCTGCCCACTCACGTATCTCCCTGAGTGTACGTTCCATTAAGGAGCTGAGGGTCGATGGACATACACCCGTAATAAGTATGCTTATGTTGTCTGCATAAGCTGTTATCTTTGGGGCCTTCCTTTCAAATCTCTTGATGAGGTCGTCGACAACCAGATTCCACAGTAGTGGCGATAGGACTCCACCCTGAGGTGTGCCTCTGTGTACCCCCTTTACCATGGAAGCGGTGCCCCACTCCGATAGCACCCGTCTACAACTTAGGAGGTTTTTGATCCAGACGTTGATTGCAGGGTGCATGTTATTCGCTTCTAGGCGACTTGTTATTGCGGTTGTTGCCACGTTGTTGAATGCTCCTGAGATGTCCACAAATGCTCCCGAAGCATACTTTTTGTTGTGAAGGGCGCTCTCGATGGTGGCTACTAGCGAGTGTAATGCCGTCTCCACTGATTTCCCCTTGGTGTAGGCGTGTTGGTTTATTGACATCAGTCCCCCTACCTCGTTCCTGATGTGTAAATCCAACAGCTTTTCTAGTGTTTTTAGTAGAAAGGAGGTAAGGCTTATCGGTCTGCAATCCTTGGGACTCACGTGGCTGCACTTTTCTGCCTTAGTGAGGAAGACAACCCTCGAGGTTCTCCATTGGATGGGGATATAGCCCGTACTTAGGCATGCTGAGTATATTGCGAAGAGCCATGGGGTAATAACCTCTTTGGTCAACTGCATCATGGCTGGGAATATCCCGTCCAATCCTGGTGCTCTTATGGCCGCGAAGGAGTCTATGGCCCAGTGGATTCTCTTAGTGGTTAACAGACCTATTGGGGGGTGCTGTTCCTCAGTTGCTAGGTCCTGATGCTCCTTGGCGTCAGTGACCTCGGTGTATCTAGGGAAGTGGGCCTCCATTAGTGCTGTTAGGGCTTCTTTACTGCCCTCTGTCCACTGTCCGTTGTCTAGTTTTAGTTGGCTCTGTACTGTGGGCTGCTTTGAGAGCAGCTTCCGGAGCCTAGCGGTTTCGGGCACTTTCTCAATGTTGGAGCAGAAGTTTCTCCACGAGTTCATTTGTGCCTTACGTACATTATTGAATATCGTTAAAACTGAAACTACATTTTTATTGTCCCAGAAAATTGGCATTTTAAATAAACAAAATCGCCAAAAGCTTCTAGATATCGGTGCACCAATAAAGAAAGATTTTTAATTTAAATACAATTTTTTTAATGAAATATGAATTTTTAATTATACAATTTGGAAATAGAAATGCCCGAGGGCCGCACTGTGTGAAGTAAAATCATTTTTTGGTATTATAAAAATTAACTTTTATGAAAGCCCTACCCTAATCGATTGCCCCCGACTGGGGACTTGATTGTTTTTGTCTGATCCTCCAGAAGTCAGAAGTTCATCTTCTCAAAGAAATAGACAATTTCACCATCACAGCCCCCAACTCGGGGAGTCTTTAGGAGTCTAAGCCAACGGACGATCTTCGGCATATATATTTTTTTTATAGGTAAACGTCGAAATTGCACTTGTCAGGAGACACAACGCCGATGGGGGAAACATAGAGAGAGCGAGCTCGTTGTATTATAATGTCATAAGTTAATTCCTGTGTGTTCCTTAAGCATTTTTATTTGCGGGAAAAAACCATCACTCAAGTCAAGGCCAAGCTTCATAAATACTATGAGAACTATGCTTCATCAATTTTTATTAATAATTGGACCGCCCAACCGACAGAGGGGCGCTGCCGCATGACGTGCGGCGCATAGCCGAACCGAACGCGAACATGCAGGAATGATAGCTGTTGGACTAATATGCGAGGAAAGTTGTAACTAAACTTCTTAAGAGAACTAAGCATACCACTACAATTACATACTAGTAAGGTATGTGAGTATTATGTATTGGTAAAAAAGTTTGTTTCCTAAATCGAGTTGTGGCCGTGAAGGCACTACTGATGCCTGATGCCTACTGATGCTTCCTGGACGCCCAGTAGTTGAGGTCCCTACACCCGAAACAATGAAATAATTTCTCGATGATGTGTTGACTGAACGGAGATCGAAAGAGCGAGCGATTGTGGAAGCCACGGGCATATCTGTTGGCTGTGACAATACATCTGAGAACATATCTACTTGCCATGAACACCCTGTGCTAAGAAGACCTTTACAATAAAATGAATAATCTGTTCGGTTCTGTTGCAACCTTCTTACTAATACTCACGTATTATTCTTTCCACCTATATCATAGGCCTCAACAATATCAATGAGATGGGAATGAGATGGGTGCGGATAATCGACAGGAAATCTGAAAATATACATACCCTTTTGAACTTTTTGCAATAATCTATATGATTGTAGTTATGAATATTGTATTGAAAATACACTCAATTTGCATTGGCATCAAAGAAGTCTTTGAGACCATGCTTGAGGTCTCTCTTCAGATATTAAAGTATCTTGAGATACATACACTTTACCATTATGATGAATGGATAGACACACATCCGACTGCCGCCGAAAAGAATGCTGCATTATAAAGGCCGAGACCTGGAGGGCTGCGATTTGCTCAGCTTTGGCTCTTTCGAACAGCCTAGTGTTATGCTGTGCCCCGAAGTATCTGAGTATCGGGTGCGCACATCCGCTAGCCGTTGGTCATCGGTGCCTGATAGATAGGACAGTTACCGACAGACACGCGGATATACTGATACGACGTATCTCCAGCTCTTTGTTTTTGGGCACCTTAACTATTTCGGGTCTATTAATGAGGGGATAGATCAATTAGCGTTCTACGCCCAATACGGTTAAGATCAAATGGTAGCGATTTGGCTTATCAGCGCCCCATATGGCATATATTATAGCCGTATAAAAAGACCGGTAGCGGAGGCAGTCGGCATAGTTTGTTCGAAGCACCGAATCCAGCATGAAGTTCACCATTTTTTTCCTGGGCCTGGGCCTGTGCCTGCTCGGCGTAAGTGAGACTGTGGGAGGAGAGTGATCAAAGTATTTAATTGTGGGGCGGGGTCCAACCTGTACAGGTCAATGCCTTGGTGCTGCCATACCCCAATGAGAACATGTCGCCGGAGCTGTACGACGTGACCGAAGATGGTTTGGTCGATATCGAGCCCTTTGGGGTCCTGAGGATCCTCTTCAAGAGCATCGAACTGTCTCTGCGCACTGTCAAGGGCTTCAACTGCATCGTCAAGTGGGTGACGGGCATCAAGGGCAGCGCCACTCAGTTCAACAGCGACGTCGTCCTCTGCGGCACCACGGCCAGCAAGGACGTGACCAACCTGATCAACGCCAATCTCAACATCATCAAGACCGCCAACAACATTATCAACTACAAGTCGACTGTCTGTGCCTCGGCCGAGGACGCTGACCAGAAGATTACAAACAACTGCTTCCTGAAGACCCTGCACCAGGTGTGGCTGCTCAGGCGACAGGTCCAGAATGTGATCACTTTGGCCAACAAACTGCCCCAGACTGCCCCCAATGCTGGTGCCTGCGTCAAGGAAGCGGTGACGACCCTCACCAACTACTACACCCTGTTCCCCCAGAACATCTCCAACTGTTCCAAGCTGACCTCCTAGACAGGCAGTGCCTACCCGTACCATTCCTGAAGCAATAATAAAATCCGTGTTGATCGGGGAGCCACTTTGGGTACTTACTGATACGTGGTGCTTGGCTTTCCCAAACAAACAAACAATACATTCGGCATTTCTTTGTGCAGGTATTGCCTATATGTACTCGGTATAATCACCGGCAGAAGCTCCCTTTGTTTGTATTGTCTTTAATATTATCTGTCGGTTGGCATCAAAAATTTGCTGCGATTTGGTGCTTAAATCAATATCTTTTCTTATCTGGTCGACTGTCCACCTGGCATTCCATTCCATTCCTTCAGAGCTTTATTAAAAGTGCATTTTGCACTATAGAATTTTTAAAGAAACCTCTTTTACTGAAAGACTCAAGGGAGCTCATGTAAAACACACTAAAAACAGCATATATGAGGAAAAATGGGATAGAGTATCGAATACTTTTCCGCTAATGGGAATGGGGATTTTTACTCTAATTTCTATTGCTACACTGAGAGAAAACCACCTCAAATGTGATCATTAATGTCAATATATTTACCCCGAGAGTGTTACGCGTTTTCACAGAACAGAGAACAGAACGGAAGGGGGGTGTGGCGAAATTTTGAGGCAAAACGGTAAAGGTCCGATATCATAGGAGTGTGGATACCAAATTTGGTTGCTCAAGCTTTTATAGTCTCTGAGATCCTTGAACTCACATTTTGCAATAGGCAAAGCCGACCATGAAACCTGTGTGTTAGAGGGAGACAGAGCGAGAAAGAATGAAATTTTTTTCTTGATTCTGGCTATAATAATTATACGATCTGGTTCAGAATATCTTCCAGAACATATAGTCATCCTCTACGATTCGGCGTTTTCTGTTTTCTCTTCTCACCACAAATCTAATATACCCGAATACTTATTTTGAGTATCGGGTATAAAAAGCGCAAGGGAATTTCTTTCCCTTTATTTATTTATTTATTCATTATTCGCCAAAGGAAACAAAACAAAATAAAAACAAAATATAACGAAATTAAGCATTGAAAAGGAAGAAATCTGTAAGGGCAATGCATTGCCCTACAAATGGGCTCATTAAAGCCATAATTGGTCCGGTGGAGATCAGCCACAAAGGGTGCATGGATGCAATCCTACTAAGCAGGTCAGTGCAATCGATGCTACCCACTAGAAGGTCAAAGATAAAGATCAGAGCCGCAATGGACCTTCGATCCTCGAGAGAGGAGACATCTTCACTTATAAGACGGCAAAGGAATGGAACAGCGCAAAGCCTGAAGTGCAAACTTCAGAAACTTCCTTTGCAGTCTCTCGGTACCTGCAATTTGAACAGCCCCAGTGGGATTCCAGACAGAGCGCACAAGGAATGAGTACAGACGTAGCCTCGTAGATGGGTCTCTTCAAGATCAGGGACACCGTATATGTATCTAAGACGATCTTGGATTTGCTCTGAATATACATATTTATTTTTCGTGTTTTATTCAAAATGTTTACATGGAATCAATGCAGACATCGATGTTTGGCAAGAAGGCGTTGCAGGCGTCCTTCACGGTGTTGGTGGCACCCACGAAGCAGGAGCTGGTGTCGGAGGGCAGCTTGCTGGCCAGCTTCAGGGTGGTGTTGATCTTCCTGACCAGCGACATGGTGGCCTTGAACAGCTTGAGGAAGCACTTGGTGGAGGTTTTTCCGGTGCCGGTGGTGGTGGTGTCCTCGGTGGCGCACAGCTGCGAGTGCAGGTGGATGATGCTGTTGCAGATGGTGATCATGGACTTGACGGTCTTCAAAATGTTGGCCACATCCTTGGGCACGGCCACGCCGCAGCTATCGATGGCGTCGACGTAGGTGGTGCAGGCAGTCAGCACGGCCAAGGTCTCCTTCAGGATGCAGTTGGTGCCGCGGATACCCTTCAGAGCTTTGCGTAGGATGCCACGGCAGCTGCGGATGAAGCCCTGCTCGGCCACTCCCATGTAGTCGAGGTCGCCGTCGAGGTCGGCCAGCAGCTGTTCAATCTCGAGGTCATAGTCGAAGTTCTCGCTCGAGCCAACAGCATTGGCCTGCAAAGGATTCAAGGTTCAAGGTTCGGCCCAGCTCGGATAGGTTTGGAGACTTACATGAGTGGTCAGCAGGCAGCTGGCCGAGACCAGAACCAGAAGGCAGAGGGTGATGGCTTTCATATTGCTTGGCGATTCACTGACGAATGTTGGTTTCCAGCACCGTGGGGTTTGCTTATATAGACGCCTGAGTACGGCTGAACTGGCAAAACGGCAAAACCCTCCCGTATCAGGCCTATCACCAGGGGAGCCGGCAGAGTGTCCACGCGTGGAGTGTCGTTGCTGTTTGCGCCGATTTATCTATGCCCATTTGTACAGATATTTTCGTAAATTAATATGCGATTGATATGTACACAGTTAGGAGGTCCGAAAACGTTTAATTAAGCCACCCAAAGTCCGAAACTCACTTCGCACTATCTATGCAGCGTGGAGACAAAGGCGGGAACACAGAACACAGAACACAGAAGCCTCTCAGCCACCTCTCAGTGGTGGTGGGCCAGTGTAATCTCCTTTTCAGATAGTGCCAAACATTGTGCCAAATTCTGTTTGCGGTTCGATCTTTTTCAGCTCCAGATCGATTCCAACTGATACAAACACTGCGCCCTCGCACATAATGAGTGGATCTGGTCTTATCACGCGTGTCGGGCCCATGCTGCACCTGCACTTTGTTCGTTGGACTTGGGGTAGCTCCCGGGCCGATCGATAACTCTCCTACGACACTCTACTCAATATAATTTCGTTTAATTTTAGAACCATAAGTTTTTGACAAACAAAACCCTTGGAAAAGTCTCCATCGAAATATTCATTGAGCGATCGATGCATTGGCAGCTATACATTATCGAAGAATACTACTAGTAGAATGCTTTCGATCTCATGTAGGAATAGGAATTCATAAAGGTCATCCAGTCGAATCAATTCTTCAGTTGGATTTCTAAAATCTGAACGACAAAAGCACCAAGCTATTATTATTGAATAACATCAATTGCCGAGTCGGCATAGCCATGTTTGTCCGTCTTGATGAGCGCCTAGATCTCCTATAAGGGTATAAGAGCTAGAGCAACCTGTGATAGACTCCTGTGATATCACATTATTACAAGTGCTACAATTTTAACGATACAAGATAACCGAATCATCGTCAACTCAGAAACATAGGGAAAAACCGTATCTACACTATTACTAAATCTATATCAGATCGGATAATTATTATAGCCAGAATGGGGAAAGGAAATTGCAGTGGCTACTTCTAACGCTTCCACGTCTTCTCTCTCTCTCTCTCCAACACTATTCCTCGTGCAGGATGCGCCACCCGACGGATATAGGCGAGATTACATATTGCTGGGTATAAGAGTAGAGCCGCGGCCCTTGCCGTATATTCTAATTTGACGCAAAATCGTTAGTTCTGAGTGGTAAATCAGGGGAACACGATGCAGGAACCGAACATACTATATACATCGTCAAGCGTTCGTGACGATCCAGAGGTTGATTCACAGCATCGACCATCTGGCAGGCATCTTATATGCCACAGGTCGACCAATGCTTGGGGTTCACTTGAATCTGAAGTGCTCCAGTTGGGCTTCTGCATGTTTTCTAAATGTTTGCTTCTGTTAATGAATCCATATGTATTTTTGGGGCGCTGAACACGAATCTAAGGTCGCAATCACGTCAGGTTTTTTTTCTAGCCTCGAAAAACCAATATGATTGAAAAATGGTGGAAACATATTTAAAAAATTCATCGGATTCGCTTGAAACTTGTCATCCGGTGGTTTCTGGGTCAATAATTACGAATTTGAAGTCAGTTTTCAAAAATTCAAAATGGCGGATCCAATTCACTTAAGACTTATAACATCCCGACCTTGCTACATACATCTACATCTTCCTCCTGTAAATAGGTATTTTAAAGAGAAACGGACTCAATACATCTTGAAACAAGAAGACATCAAATTCGTAATCAGCGACCCCAAAAGCCTTCGAGTGACGAGTTTCGAGCAAATCCGTTGAATTTTTCAAATAAGTTTCGACCATGCTTCGATCATAATTGGGGCTGTGTAATTGATGTTAGGTAAGGAAGACTATAAGAAGCAGAAAGAAGATCATTTATTTAGGCGGGGCTTTATGTTTGGGCGGTGTTTCAGCTGTTGGCGACGCAGCTGATTGGGTCGCTCACGCTACTAGTCTTCCTGGGTCTTAGCCTTCATGAGGCGTCATGGCTTAACCTTCGGCTTGGGCTTGGACTCAGATGTTGCCTTGGGGCCTTGATGTTAGTCAGTCCGCCAACATATCGGCAGGCGCACCAGGAAATGTGCCTCGCCGAACCAGGACTTCTGGAGGGTATTGAGCCCTGGGCAGTTCTCTTTCAGCAACTCCTGAAAAATAATACTATCTTCGGCACTTATTGGAGTCTAATTAGCTTTTATTTATCATGGTTCAACAAAAAGCATTATCATTATATCAAAAAAGGAATCCATTTTCCAGAGCAGTTGTCATTCAAGATAATTGAATACTTTCTGAGTAGTAGATTCTTCAAAAAAACCACGAAAAGATCAAGAACTTGGACCCTATTTAAATTCGACATATACATATGTATGATTATAAAATATGTTGTATTTTAATGAAATCAACTAAGAATGGGACATTGCTTTCGGCTTTTTTCTGACTTCGCAGGAAGAAATCAAAAAGAAAAGCCTGGTTCAGGGAAGAGTCTCCTCACATATTCCAAAGGCTGTGCAAAGGAGTGGAATACCCAGTATTTATTCAAGAGAACACGCGTTGTTTTTGTGTTTTATTCATATGATATGTATTTATTAATTCAATCATCTGTTTGTATATGTATTTACGAGTATGTACTTGTGTATATGCATGTGTATGTTCAGATATTAATAGTAAAATTGTTGAGCCGAGTATAAAAACAAATAACAATAAAAAAAAATCTTAACCGAAGCAATTAAATTAATGCCATTACATATTAAATTCAATCCGAGTCAAAGCAATGCGATGTATGCACGATATTTAAAAATAGTTTAAAGAACTCTGAAATTTAATATTAAAAGTACAACACCAAAAATGTAATGCATATATGTATGTATGTATGCAGATAAAAGATATTCAATTACAATATATATCCGAGCAAATCGGTTCGCTTTCGGCACTGCACAAGTCAGATAGGAATAACAATAGCTTTCTAAAAACATTACATGTATGTATGTATAATAATATTTAAGAGTTAAGAGTAATAAGTAATAATATTGTATGATTATCGTACAAGTTAGGTTTCTATATACTTTTACTTTTACTTTCACATCTTTCGTCTTTTTTCCTCGCGGTTATCTTTTCTTTTTGTTGCCTTTTTGGGTTTAAGCTTGCCTTGGATTTGAAGTTTTGAAACAAAGCCTAGTCTTAAGCTAGAATAATATTATAATATGGTATAGTTATCATTTTATAATTGCACATTTGTTAAGTTAGGAAAAAAAAAACAAAAAAAAATGCACCACTTATAAGACTCAGAGGAGAATCAGATCAGATCAGATCATATTAGATGAGGCTGAGGCGACTGTTGGTCTTTCGCAGCTGGGCACGCCAGGGGATGATGTTGTCCTCCTCCCGCTCCCGCTCCCGCTCCTCGTGGGCCTCCCGGTCTAGGGGCTGGTCCACGGCTTGCTCCAGGGCGGCGTCGGGGGCGACCTGCTCCGCCTCTGAGGCACACTTGGAGTCCTGGCTGTGGGCGTGGCTGTGGTTCTCCTTGTTGCCACCGTTGCCACCTTGGGGATGCTGTTGTGGGGGAAGCTGCTGGAACTGGATCTGCTGGTAGTGTTGCTCCATGCCGGCTAGATTGATGTTGATGTTGTCTATGGACATGGCGCGGTTCTTCAGCCGCCAGGTGTCCGCAATGCGGTTGTTCTCCTCCACCTTGGGCGTGTAGATGGCCGCTCTGGAAAATGCCACATACACAGCGGTCAGAGAAGAGTCCGCCCTGCCCTCCGCCCTGCCAGCCCGGCCGTCCTCTCACCCACGCTCACCCAATCCCAACTCAACTTACTTCAGCTTGTTCTCGGTCTCCTCGCGGCGCGCCAGAAGGTCGCGCTTCCACTGGGGGATCTGCGAGAGGCGCCGCGACTCGGCCTCCTGGGCCATGCGCTCCTCGAAGTCCTTCTTGGCCCGCTCGGCCGCCTTCTTGGCCATCATCTGACGCTTCCAGTCGGGTATGGCATTGCCGGCCTGATCTTTTTCGGGTATCTGCAAGTAGATCTTTGCCACGCATCACAAACGCCCTTAGTCCGAGGTCGGGATTCACTGGGGGATCGAGTCGAACTCACCTGGTCCACATAGTTGTTGGCCGTGAACTGCTTGGTTATCTCCACGTAGTGCTCGGAGTCCATGCGGTTGGCCATCTGCTGCTCGACCTTCATCTTCTTGATGCCCGGTATGTCCTTGGAGATCTTCAGCTCCGCGATCAGATCCGATTTCAGATACGTATCCGTGCTCGATGTGAGGCACTGCATGCTCAGACTCCGTGCTGGCATCTGATAGGGCTTGGGCACCTTCTGCGTGTCTGTGCGTCGCAGCTGGAATGGGATTGGATTGGTTATAGGTTATAGGAATATAGGAATATAGGGATATAGGGCAGAGGGAGAGGCTTTACCTGGACGCTGTTCAGATCCTGTATTGAGATGGCCGAGAGTGGCTGGTGCTGCTTCCGTGTGGCAGTGTCCTGACTATTGGGAGTGGCTCCGTGCGGCTTCTTGGCCTTGTGCGACTTGCTGGCCATGGTGGAGTCGCTGCCACCGTTCATCAGGGGCATCATCATGGGCGGCAGCGGCATGTTGTGTGGCAAGGGCGGTGGCGGCGGCGGCAGTGGCGGCTGTTCCCCCATCCCATGATGGGGATGGTGTGGATGCTGGTGATGGTGATGATGCTGCTGCTGTGGGTGCTGGTGCTGGTGCTGCTGCTGGGGATGCTGCTGCTGTTGCTGCTGCTGGTTGGCAATCTGTATCTGCATATAGTCCTCCGTATCCGTGGAGCTGCACAGAAAACAGAAAGAGAACGGGGAGATCGTCGATTAGTGGGGGCTACTTTCCCTGCGGTCTGGTCTGGCTCTCGGACCTGCGCCAGGCGTGGCGTGTGCGCAGTATCATCTTCGGATTGCAACTGAGTTGCAGCTCCAGCCGTGGCAAGCGGCATGCCACATCTACAACTAGCACGCATAAAATTTCATGCACTCTTGAGCGGCGGAGGAAGTGGCTGACTGAGTCGAGTCTCCGTCCCCCCTCTGCCTCTCCCTCTCTCTCACACTCTCTCTCTCTCTCTCCCAAGCTGCTAATTGCCAAGATGCAGCCAAGCTGCATCCAAACAGCCAACCAACCATCCATCCATCTTTCTTTGTACGAGTCGCGAGTATCTTTCCATCTTCCTATCCATCTGCTGGCTGGCTGGCTGGCTAATTGAGGCGAGGCAACTGTACCTCTGCCACTGCCACTGCCACTGCCACTGCACTAATTATGGGTGCCGTTGCACGAGATGTTCAGCCAAATTAAATCGGCTGCCATCTGCTAATTGAAAGTGGTGGCAGTGCCCCAACGGACGTGGGGGGGACGAACCACTAGGCTGGACGGGACTGGACTGGACTGGACTACTCACCGGGCCGAGGATGGACACGAACGCTTATCGCTGATGCTCTTCAGATACTCGGACGGCTTGATGAGGTGCGTGACGCCGTCTTGTGATTTATTGGGAAAACTGGGGGGCACAAACGGCAGCACCAGCTGCTTGTTGACCAGGTTGGGTCCGCCGGTGCGCCCGCCACCCGATCCGGGCACCCCGCTCCCGGCCTCGCCATAGATGCCCGCGTACTGGGCCTGCTGCTGGGTGAGCTCGTAGTGATCCTCGGCCGAGGAGCCGCCCCCGTACAGGCTGGGCGTGTAGGTGTGATGGTGGTTCTGCTGCTGCTGGGCTTGCTGCGGGTAGTGGGGCGATGTCGTCTGCTGGTAGTTGCCGCCCCTCTGCGACTTGGGAGCATCCGCATAGCCATAGATGCTGCCGTTCGGATTACGCGACTGGGAGCCAGCTCCTCCTCCACCGCCGCCCCCGCCCCCGTTGGCATCTCCATTCGTCTGGGCGGCTGCTGCATTGTTGGCCGGATTGGCGTTACCATTGAGCAGCTTGGCTTTCTTGTTCGCTGAAATTGAACAAATTTATTTATGAGCTTCGTTCGTCGCTAGTTTTTTGTGGGTTAGCAGTCATCACGGCTCTTTCCTCTCTCCTCCGGCCTCGGTCATGCTCGCTTGAGCAGCCAACAACATCCACTCCCTCAACGGCAACAACAGTAGTTCATTGCGTATGCAGAGACGCGGCGCCTTTCACCAGACAAAGCGCCGCAAGAACACACTGCCAGTGGACTTGGAGCTCTAGTTGCATACACAAATACGTTTCATTTAGCCCGATTCAAATATGGCCAAAACGGCCCCGCGGGAAGGAGGCCAACGGAGCAACAAGTACTTCAACGTACGATATATATAAAGTAACCCAGAGTCTGATCTCAACAATGAGGAGGCAGCTTAAGATGGCGGTAACGGTGAGGGTAAGGGTAACGTATTTTGTATGGGACAAGCTCCTTGCTCACTCGCTTTGCTTGCCTTCGCCAACCCCTGCTCACTCGCTTCGCTAGCCGATATGAGTAAAACATCGGGAGGACGACGACGACGACCCAACACTTGTTTATGCAGTAGAGTCGACGAGTCTCTCTCATCATAAAATACATTTTTTCCCCATAGATTCTTCCTCCTTCCTCCTGATGGACTATAAACTGCCTACACGACAGTATATGCTGATTGATAATGAAAATTAATCTGTACAATTCATAAAAGCAGTTCTTGGCTCATGCTAGATAACTGTCTGATTACTTTTGAGATACTTGTCCCGATGTTGCCATGGAATATGCCTGCTGTTGTCTGAGGTTCTAGAAAAAAGTCTACCTTAGTCAAAGATAAGACGGAGGTACGTCTGCACCCACATATATGAATATGTATATACATAAGTGCCGCCTGATAAGCCCCAAACGTGTTTCAGACTCAATTATGCTGAAACAAAGCTTCTTAGAAAAACGACTAATGACTAATAATAATTTTCAAATTTATAAATTGTATAGAAATCCAGGTCGTGTTTGAGAGAAATTTTCTGAAGAAGGGGAAAGCCAATTGTTGAAAGAGTTGGTACAAAGGCACTGATTGTAGTCACAGTCTATTGTACACTTAAATTTGCCCATCGTAGGAAAAAGTACCAATCAGTTAAGACTTCAACGTAATATCCTTAAACGGCTAGACTTATGTGCGTAATGATTATTCCCAGATAAGAAGTCTTCAATCAATAAGAGTGACCTTTCCATCGGGATATCTCTTAATTGAAATGCTTCTTAAGTGAGCGTTTATCTTCCTACTTCCTTTAAGACACTTAAGACACACCTAACATTGTCTTTTTTATGCCTTTTTGGCCAACGATACACACGGAAGTGCCCAGTTCTCTGCTCTCGTTGAAGTTGTCGTGGGAGTATCGCTTTGAAAAAGAAATGTAATCTACCACCGATTTCCATGGTAACCATTTGTGTTTGCTGATTCAATTTCCATGCCACAAGCAACTTAATTGGGCAAAAACAATCTCCGCTGTGGCAGGCTCTTCAGCTCCAGCTAAACCCGATCGCGGCGAGTCCTCGCCAACGTCTTGCTCCAACTTTCACGGCTCTGCGGCGCACAACTCGTTTCGTCTGGAGATCATGGCCATTACGTGGATGTGGATGTGGATTTTCATATGGCGGTGACGGTCATGGCTGCACTCTGGTGGCACTACCCCTACCCCTGCCCCTAGCCAGCTATTGTCTATGGGCAAACCACTTAAAATCGAGTCGAGCCAGTTTGGTTTGAATTTATGCATTGCATCGCAATCGAGCTGCGTTTTTTTGGCGACATGAAAAACGAGCAAACAAAATGCGAATGTTTCGAACATGTCTCAACATTTTATCTATCAATTTGAGCAAAGCGGTTTGTACCTGTCAACTCCTGCAACTCTGCAGATCAGCCAGCAACGGGTCCATGTCACGGTGAAACTCGAAATTGCAATTGCTATTCGATTTGGGCTTCGATTAATTTGCTTCATGAGTGCAATGTCTGCTGAGGATTGGCGATATGCCCCCAAATATTTACAACACTAATAACTGAAGACAATTCAGCCTTTATGTGGCTTGGCAAGTCTTTCGGGAGAGAGTCGGAGGCCTGGAGATGCTAACCAAAGGGTAAGGATCGGGATAGAATGGCAAAATAATTAAACCTATATTTGTAAACGACTCTTGGTAATATTTAGCAAAAGAAGTGAGAGAAAACTGAGCCAGCACTAACTTGAATTTAATTTTTCAAAGTACAACAATACACAATGGGAGTAGCATCCTTTCAAAGTCCCATGATCATCCCATGATAGTAACAGATAAAACACTGAGACATTTAGATCAGTCTTTTGTTATCCTTTTGTTTCGGTCTGGGTATCCTTTCATTTCAAAAGACATTTGTTGCACTTACACCTAAAGATATCGAAACGTTGAAAGCTCAGGGTGAAGTAGTTCCGGCGCGAGTTCTTGTGGATCTTCACCGAGCCGAGCATGTTCATATTGAGGATGGGTCCAGGGTCGGTGTGATTTGCGGATGCACAGAAAGATATGTCGATAGATAATCACATTCTCAACAATTGATTGAGACACTAAATAAAAAGGAGATTGATTGCACACACTTTTCGGCGAATTAGAGAATAGTAGAGACTCGACGATGTTGCCTGGGCGAACGTCGCTGGCAGCCTGATGCAAGTTCAGGCGATCGACAAAGTTATTCACCCAAGACAGTGGATCGGAACAGCTCCGAACGGCAGCCACAGCCACAGCGACGACAACGACAACGACAACGACGATGTGGAGGTTGCCACCAACTCCAAGTGCAACTGCAACGATCGTCTGTCTCTTTTTGCGGCAAACACGTTCACTTTCATTGGTAAAAGTTTTGCAGAGCCCGAACTACCGCCCCAACAGCCGCCCAGGCCATGAGGAGGCGGTGCGGGTGGTGAGTGAACCATCGTCGGGGCCAATTATGGGGAAATGTGTGGGACATGATACAGGCCTCGGGTCTGGGGGTCTTGGGCTTCAAACCTCACGACTCGCGACTTGCGACTCGCGACTTGCGAATGGCAAATAGCTTCCTCATCGGATCCCAGGGATTCACTCTCCCATGTCCAGTGTCTGGCTGTCGGACTGTCTGCTGGCATGCCCATCGCTTTTCTGGTTTCCCTCAATTTGGTATCGGGAATCGGGGATCGGGGATCTGGGGGTCGGTGTCGGGGTCTGGGCCATCCAACCGCTTCAATAGCGATCGACAAAAAACCTTGTCGTAGCTCCTGCCCCCATACGGCACCGGCAGTCAAGTGGCTTCGATTGTTTTCAACGGCAGCCATTTCCACTTTTCAACTTTGTTCACTTCCACTTCTTTGTTTTCGCGAACATTTTCCACGGATCTTTGCCGCCTTATCGTGTGAACGGCGCCTCAATTATATATCGCAGGCATTTCCAGTTCTCCTCCGACTCGGGCATAATAGGCAATTAGCGAATGGAAAATCGAGCCAACACATGTCAAACATGGCAGCTATCACTCACATTTCTTCTCTGTCACCGTCTTATTTTCAGTTTCAGCTTCAGTTACGTTTTGCTCTGCTAATATTGCAGCAATTAAGTCAAAGCCCGATATTTATTGTGTGATAATGAGGCAGCAAATATGGCCCAGGGGAACTACTGGTTGGCTGGCAGAAGCCAAATGCGGCGTGAAGGATAGTTGGTCGGGTGCCGAGCTACCACTGGAACCTAAACTCCACTTTAGTCATTTGATCTGACTTTACTTAAACTGTGCTCAACCAATATTAGCTTTCTTTCGAATGCACTCGATCCAGTGGGATTCGAATCGCACGCCCAAAATGGACTGAACGAAACAGGTATCGTCAGGCAGATACAAAAATTTCGGTTTTTTTTCTCGCTCACTCTCCATATGATTTTCTGTTAATGAGAACGAGAAAGCAACACAGAAAATTTCTGTGACTCGGGATGATCCGAATTCGACTGAAGGAAGAATTCGTGCTGGTCGAAAGAAGAATTCAAGAGGCATGAGTATGGCCGTGATTTTATGAACTAAACATCAGCTAACTATTTGGCCACAACCGCTCCAATCAGCGTCCAACATCAAGCAATATACACAGCAAACACTTTCATTGAGACATTGAGTCCATTGAGACATTTAACAGAGACATCCTCTCCTATGCACACCTCCAAGACACTGTCTGTCTACCTTTTCAGCTGGTTCTCATTGGTGCAAACTTGTTTGCAGACTGCAGGGCATTCATCCTGTCCAATCGACCTACATGACTGGCAAATTTCCCCTAATTGATCAATCAATGCAGACTGACAGTCACAAGCCACTGGTCTCTGACGCCGATGTCCGAGCCAGACCAGACCCCAACGGCTCTTGATGACTGTCTGTTGACTGTTTGTTTTCTGTTTACTGAGGTGAAAGACCTCGGAAATGACAGAGAAAGATGTTTATGTTGATGTTCGAAGCTTTGTTTATTCGTCTAATGGGGGGCAGCGGTGTTCTGTTAGTGTTTCTTCTGGAAGTCCTTCCAAATGGGAGTTTTTTGAGGTTCCTTGCGGTTGAAATTGACCTCTGGAATGTGCTTCGAGTTACTGGCAGTGGGCGTTTTCAGAGGTTGCTTAATGTTGAAATTGGCCTCTGGAATGTGTTTCGAGCTGGCAGCCGGCTGGGGAAAATCCCAACGCGAGGGCTTGCGTCCTTGCTCGTCCTTCGTGGCCTGGCCACTGGCGTTAATGGTTCTGGAGCGGCTGCGGGACGGCTGGGGATTCGAAGCCAGGCCCCGACTGGTACTGGGAATGGAGTCAGTGTCCACGTTCGGCACAGCCTTCTTACGATCGCCATCGTGCTTGGGATAGATCCTGACATCGCCACATGGGGCCCTGTATCTGCCTTTATAAACGCCCTTGGCCAGCTTGCCACGGTTGCTAGTGCCCTTGAAGGCCTTCTGTTGGACACTTTCGCGTCTCATGCCCTCAATTAATACATTGGGATCGGGGCGCATCGGCGAATGTGGTGGGACCCTCTTGACATCCGTCAAGTGCTTGTCGAGCAGCTCTGCCTCATCATCGTTGAGCTGTTGCGGGTCGAGGGACTTGAGGAAGAGCGTGGGATTGCCAACACTGTAGATAATGTACTTGTCCTTGTTGGACGGTGTATTGGTTAGCCCCTCCCTAAGGGAATCCATATCGAAAGACCACTGATCGGAATGATACTTTGGCAGCCTCTTCCGGCGAGGGTCCATGCCCAGTGTGGATGAGCTTACAGTCCCAATATCGATTAGGTCCACTTCATCGCTTGACTCGGAAGTATTCATTTCCATTGCAACAGCAGCAACGTTATTTTATAAAATTTTGAAATTTTCCAACGTATCCAAAGAGATATGTGATTCGAATGGAGAGAACCCAATTTGATAGATGATTTCTAGGTCATGAACGACATGATAAAATATATTGGGATATATGTATGTACATATGGCATCTGGCAAAAACTGATACATTACTAATTCAAATGGGGGCTTCCAGATCAAATCGCATATATATATATACTATAAAAACAGCCACAGGACATTTCCCTGAATTTCCAAGGTATATTTCCAGTACTGCTCAGATATTCGAGACATTCATATTTAAGATTCGCTGGATAATCCAACTGCAGCTCACCTGAAATGGTGGACATAGTGCGATTGTGATTGCCCCGCACTAGTTCAGATGGCCGCAGACTCGGCTCCTCGATCACCTCCAGGCCAGAGTCGGAGTCGGCGGCTTCGCTGGCAGCATTCGCATTGCCACCGACAATGGGACCAGGAGCTGGCACTGCACCGCTGCCACTGCCACTGCCACTGCCAGTGGTGGAGACCGGGGAGCTTACTCCGTACACATTCTTCTTGTAGATGTTGCTGTTGCTGCTGCTGATATTGTTGCTCGGTTGCTCGGCATTCAAGTTGTTGCGCTGCTGCTGCTGAGTCGGAGCTCGCAGCGGTGGTGGCAGAGGCGGTGGCGGAGGTCCATTCACTGGAGAAAGGATAAGAAATGGGATTTATTAAACCTTGAAATGGTAGCTTAATAATTATGCAATCTAGGTATCAAGTATGCATCAGTCTACCAAATCTATAGGTGGGTATCATAGGACTCTGCACACTGAATGTTGTTGCTATCCGGAAGGACTTTGCACCTAAATTCTAGCCCGATCTACTGCAAAAGTATCTTGTGTGAACTAACCCAAAGCCACGTTCTGCATGGGGGGAGCCGAGGATACCCGTTTCAGGTTCCTGCTGCCCAGGTTGTTGTTGCTGTTGTTCTGATGGTTGTTGCTGTTGCTGCCGCTTCCGTTGCCAGTGCCATTCTGGGCAATATTGGGGCTGCTGCTGCCGAGCATCGCTGGCATCGAGGCATCCACCAGATTGTTGCGGATCATGGAGTTCTTGTGGGTCTGCTTGGTGCGTTCGGCCACATCCTCCGGCGGACAGACGCTCTCGTAGGTGTCGCTCTTGATGCCGCCATTGAGCAGCTGGTTCTTGAGGTTCACGTTCTTCGAGCTGTAGTTGTCCTTCAGCGAGGACTCGTATTTGCTGCTGTGCAGGCCGATGATTGAATGCGATTTGTTGCGATTGAGCACACTGTTGTTGTTGTTGTTGCTTATGTTGTTGGTACTGCTGTTGTTGTTGTTGCTGCTAGAGATGCTGTTGTTCCGCTTGTTGTTCAAATGCTACAAAATAATGGAAAATATTTGGTCAATGGGGGGGGTTTTAAGGGGATTTTGTTGACGGGATATACGCACATGGTTGCTGTACTGCAGGACAATGTCCGTGCTGCGTGTGGAGCTGGCGCTGGCCGAACGGGAATGGGAGCCACTGTCCCTCGACCGAGATCGTCCCACATTGTATTTATGTTGCTGTTGCTGTTGTTGCTGCTGTTGCAGCTGATGTTGCTGCTGCTGCTGTTGTTGCTGTTGTTGTTGCTGCTGCTGTTGCTGCTGCTGCTGCAGCTGTATCTGGTGCTGCTGCTGGTGCTGGTGCTGCTTGCGCGACTCTTCCCGCACCAGATAGATGTCCTCGTAATCGTGATCCCCGCCACCATTCTGATTGCCATTGCTGGCCATGTTCTTGTGCTGTTTGTAGTTGTTGTTGTTCTTGGCGCCACTGCTGTTGCCGTTGCCGTTGCTGATGTTGCTATTGCTGCCGCTGCCATGCCGGTTGAAGCTCTGGCTGCGCATCTGCTGATGATGGTGATTGCTGCTCTTCGGCGAATTGAAGCTGGACGAGATGGAGACGGACTCGTCGGAGCCGCTGCCAGCACCGCTGGAGCTGGAGTGGACATCCGCCTGGATGGTCATTGCATTGCCAGCCTTCGACTGCATTATCTGCTGCTGATGATGGTGGCTGTGATGGCTGTGGTGGTTGTTGTGCTGCTTCACGCTGCTGCAGTCCGAGTCCACGAACAGATCTCTCACCCGGTTGTAGATTATGTCCTGGGGGTCGTGCAGGAAGAACGACTCGCCCGAGATGCTGCCGTTTGGCGAGGGCGAGGCATACATGCCGCCGTTCCTCATGGGGTTCACGTAGAGCCCATCGTTGGGCAGCAGCGCACCGCCGCCGACCGTGGAGCTGCTTCCGCCCCCGCCTCCATTGCCTCCCATGGAGGAGCTGCCATTGTAGAGCTTTTCTGAGGAACTTCGCGACTGCTGCGAGTACAAGGCATCGCTGTTCTTTCGCGAGATTCCCATACCGATGCCCATGCCCAGGCCCATGGCCGATCCTCCAGCGCCCCCACTCACTGCCGGCGGATGCAAGTAGAAGGGCTCCACATCGGAGCTCAGTGTGGACGATGACTTGGACTTGATCGTGTTGCTGCGGCTCGTCTGCTTCGAGGAGTTCGAGTTCGAGTTGCAGCTGCTGCTAAAATGTTGCTGCTGTTGATGGTGCTGCTGCTGCTGTTGCTGCTGCTGCTGCTGCTGCTGCTGCTGATGTTGCAGTTGCTGCTGTGTTTTGTGTCGCTGCACGCTGTTCTTGCTGTTGTAGTCCACAGATGTCCCGTGCTGGACCAGCACATTCAGGCACTGCAGGCGATGAGGGAGGTCAGAGAGTTAGCTTGTGGCAGGTAGCAGGTAGCAGGTTGCAAGCTCGTACTCACCTCAACCTGCTGGTTCTCGGCCGCATCGTTGATGGGGGACTTGCCATACTTGTCCAGCGACAGCTTGGCTCCGTGATTGAGCAGCCAACGCACCACGGACAGATGACCGCGCGAGGCGGCAAAATGCAGTGGTGTGGCCCCATCGCCATCGCGCAGATTTGGGTCGACTCCTTGGTCTTGAACCTGTGGATTGTTGCATGGAGAAATGTCAAACAAAAAACCAAATGCATTAGTGATTAGCCACATAAAAGAGTGTCCCTAACTGCCTGCCCTAGGGCCTAACTGCCCTAACTGTCCTAGACCGGTACCCCGTTGGAGATCTCAGTGTCCAGTGTCCAAAGACTATGCAATTACCAAGATGTTGCCTGAGGCACCAAGAAGATGTTTTATGGCGGTGTTTTTCATGGTTTTTCGTGTGAGAGAATCGAGCAGCATTTTACTGTGTCATGCCCAAACAATGTATATGGTTTTTGGTTTTTTGGGACGGACTTGTGCGCGTTGCAAAGACTGAGGGATTGAGAAGCAGACGAAGCCGAAATGGGCAGTGGACAGCGGTCATAGTTGAAGGATAGCCCACGTATTTACCACGTAGCATCGAACGTTGCAACATGTTGGTATTTTATAGTCTCTGATGCAACGCATGGGACCGTTTATTCGGTGTCTCCGATTCTTGAAAGTAACTCTCTGTTTCTACAGTCCCACATAAAATACCCCCGACTTTTATCGTCCTATCCTACATAGTTAGCCCCAGTATTTGCCCATCTTCTCTTCGCTTAAGTACTCGCACTCTAGTGATCTTTTATGGCGAATACTTTCCCACTCACTGCAGTGCCTCACGTACTGAATCACTGTCTGTCGAGTGCTGCACTGACCGTTCAGCCTGCTGTCCACTCAGTGTCTCACTATTCGTTCAGCATCTCATTGTCCTGTTTGATACGATATTTGCTTGTTTGTTCAGTGTCTGTTGACGGCTACTTGGTTGAGTACCTCACTGTCCACTCAGCGTCTCGCTGTACACGCTCACTGTGTCACTGTCCGTCGAGAGCCTGCCTTTTGGCTGTGTTGTGGAAAGTGGTTTTCCACCCGTCGGGTCTTACGGCAAATGAAAACTATTTAGTTCAGTTTAGAAAGGTGATTTTCTACTGCCAGCGAGCCTTCACCGATGATCTTGAAAAATTCATTCTGGTTCTTGGTGGGAGGGAGCGAGACAGGGAGAGCACACAGGAGGATACAATGCATGGGCCATTGTCAGCGGGTATCTGCAAGATACTCCTGCATGAAGTGTGGCTTTGCATAAGCCACTCTCTACCTCTCTCTCTCCCTCGTTGCTTGGTCTCCCCTGACTCGCTCGTCGGACACATTCCCCAATTGATAAATTGAATAGGCCAGGCGACAAACTAGTCAAGACGCCAGAACCCCGTTACCCCAAACAGGACCGAAAAAAGAGCGGACTGCGGACAGTGGACAGCGGACAAAACGAGTTCGCGGCCAAGCCGAGTCGAATGTTCCAATTGACCCCCATTGGCTGCTGCTACAGTTTGCTAACTACATGGCAGCCAAATTTTATGTGTTGCACAGCCACTTGGCCGCAGCCAGCTTACCATCCATTTGAGGCAATCCAAGCAGCCCATTTGTGAAGCGGCATGGATCGGTGCCATGCCGTCGCGTGCACGAACATAAAGCGAGCCGCCGGCTTCAAGCACCAGAAACTTGAGCACCTCCAAGTGGCCCTCCTGTGCTGCCAAATAGACGGGCGTGACATCATTGTCCATTTGCGTATTGGCGCTGCAATCGGCAAGGAAAAGCGTGCCACAGAAAAAGAAACGAAAACAAAACAAACAAAAAAGACAAAAAAGACGTTCATATAAATTGGCATCCAATTAGTCGGCGTAAGAGAGGAAAAATCAAGTGTTTAATGAGCAAAAAGTCTGGCATGATCGCCAGATTTGAGCCTTACAAAAATAGCTAAATCTCCTAAAGTATTCACATGGCAGTCACCAGCCATTCACACGGCATTCACATACCATTCAGGCTACAAAAAAAATAAACGCCATCGCAATACAGTGATATCACAACGGGCAACATTATCAGAAGAAGTGGACAGATTGAACTCAAACGCTTGCATTGGTTCATCATCTTTCCCCTTCGACGCTCTTCTAGCTGTTCATTTGCCTGCTCTTTCTTCTCTTTTTTGTGGAATATCATTAATCGATCGATCGAAAGCTCTGATATACATATTATGGAATGTGGATCTGTGATTTTGTGGGAAAAAAAAAATTTGAAACGGGTCGAAGTCTATACAATTTGTAACAAACTATATCTAGAGTATTATTATTGCAATAATGAGTATTCCGCTCATTCGAAAGTGCTGATTACTGCTATTTACAAAGAATGAGCCCATAGTCATGCGCTCAAATGAGACATGAGTATGAGATGGTATGTGCAACTACCTGAACTTCAGACAGCACCAGAACCATTGTTCAATCGGCACGGATCCAGATCCAAACCTATTCCTTTGAACTGAAGTAAGGTTTGAATCTGGATCGCACAATACATCTGTACTACTCTTATATGTTTATGATCAATTGGTAATATTTATATTTAGTTTCATTACTCGTATTCTTTGAGGTTTGAGAACATTTGAAAATATTCCTAAGGATTCCATTAAAGGAACATTTGGGTGCCAGGAAAATGTTATTAAGATCTCTTATGAATACCCCCTTCGAACCTCACAACACTACGGCGATTGTTCTGCTCCTTCCGCCCCACACCGCTCAGCATGGGCGTGGCCTCGTCGTCATCATTGGAGTCGGGTTCATCCTCCACATCCAGACGATCCCTGACAGCCTCCACAGCGGCTTTCCTCTGCTGATGCTGGTGCTGGTGCGAATGCTGATGCTGGTGCTTGTGTGCCTCCATCATGAGCTCACTTAGGTCGTGCAGATCACTGGGATTGGGGGTCTCCTGTCCGCGGCTATGGCTGTGGCTGTCCCGTTCCTGATCCTGGCCTCCTGGCTCCGCGGGGCCGTGCTCGATCTCCGAGTTGCTGCTGTGGGTGCTGCTGCTGAGGATGGCGGCCGTTACCTCTGTGGCGATGATCGTGTGGATGTCATTGTTCGATTTGCTCTTCTGTTTACTGCGGCGGTAGGAGGTCAGACTTGTGGTCATGCGGCCCAGCAGGCCCTTCTTAACGTTGATGGTGGAGAAGTAGCTAGAGGGATGGGATTGCAAGGAGGGTTGTACGGATGGCCAGTGTTGGTTGGTAAGGTTCAAGATCAATTTGCTGTGGCAGGGGCTGTGGGCTGGGGTGGTGTGTGTGTGTTCGAGTGTGTGCGATAGTCTCAGTTTGGATTGGATTGATTGCTTGATTGATTGTTTGATTGGTAAAGTGCTTGGTGCTTGTGTTGAATTGGACTTGCAGGAATCTCTTGATCGCTTCATGGCCTTGGCTTACCTACTCAAAAAAACAGTCAACACTTTCGTTTTTGGCACCACTCGTGCCTTGAGGTTTTCTTCTGCCTTGCCTTCTGGTTTTCCGTTTATTTCACTCTGGTTTTCCCAATACCGTTAAACTTAACACTGAATCAAGAGCAAACATAAAAAAATATGAAACTGGTTTAGGAAAAATCACTTGAATATTTAACCGCCGCTAGATGTTTTTCGGTTTTCTTTTCGGTTTCGTGGATTTGCATATCGAGTTTTTCGGTCTGCGTCCTAGATCGTATACAGATTTATCGTATCGTTTCGTATCGTATCGTATCGTATCCCGGTTTATATGGAACACACTTTACGAGTATCGCATCTCTCTGCTGAAACCGAAAGTCTGTTTCGGCCCGGCTCTGGATCCGTTGTCTGGCTTCCGATGTGGCTGCTTCGAGATTAAACCCTCGATGCTCGATCTGCTCGACAAACTTCTAGTAAAACACTATTTCTCTGCCGCCTCCGCCGCTGCCCCTCCTCCGATCTGGCACTTATCTTTTTTTTGTATTTTGGTGAAATTAACGCTTAAAAGCGAGAAAAAAAACTGCACTGGGATGAAGATAGAGGTGGAGGTGGACACGGTGGAGGAGGGGAGGGGGCGGTGCACCAGACTGTGTTTCTCTGTGTTACGCCTGACTCCCAGTAGATGCCGCGGGCCGTGTGGCGTCTGCTGCTGCTGCTGCTGTTACCATTTACTGCTTTCCACATGCCACACAGTGGGGCAAACGTGCAAGCGGTCATTTATGGTATACTGGATTACTATTAGACATATCTGTATACATATGCCTTCCATACATGTATCTTCTTTGCACCTATCTTAGGTTCTTTTCCATGTATCTTTTTTCAGTTTCTATAATCTATATCCCTATCCTATATCTTATAAAAAAGCGTTTATTTCCTTATTAGTAGTTCTTCCGCTTGTATCGGCTAAGGTTTTCATTCTACTATATTCTGCTCCTCCAAACTATTCTATTAGTAATGTATTCCACTAGCCCTATAGATGTCTATCATAGCTACCTCTTACTTTTGTATACTAGAAGATACTTTAAAGCTAATACTTGGATATTTTCGCTGCCATCAGGCAATCTGTCAAGCTTCTCTCATTTTATCTGTATCTACTATATCTCCTTTGGAAATTATACCTCCATTCTCATAGCCTTTGTCCCACTGTGCTTTCGCCCCTTGCCAATGATGCTGGCGGTGCCAAGCGGTGGCGACGATGATGGGTAATGTGCAGATATATATATACTCGTACTCGTACTCGTACTCGCACTCGCATCTGTACTGTTCACTTAGTCAACTGGCTTACGACTTCATGGGTATTGCACACACACGGCATACCCGAGACCGACACCGGGCACTGTGAGATACACCGCAGACAGAGAGAGGGAGAGAGGCAGAGAGACAGAGGGTGAGAGGGAGAGAGAGCGTGGAAGAAGGCGCTTCAAGTGGCTTTCTTCGTCCGACTTCGGACGACTTGTTACATTTTCCAGCTTTTCTCGCTTTAGAAATGAATTGTAAACCAATTAAAGTTGATTTTTCATCTTTATCCCCCCCACCCCTCCGACGTCTCCCCCACCCGCCTATACCATGACGTGCTCTCCTCTGTTTCAGCTTCTGTTTGGTTTTTCTTCTGCTGTGGCTTCTTTGGTGAAATAGGTGAAAATACAGTAAGAAATATATATCTATATATATGTATATATTCCCAATTTGATATCTTCTCCTTTCTGCGCTGCTCTGCTCTGCTCTGCTCTGTTGTTTTTTGTTTTGTGTGTTTTTCTTTTCTAATTGCAATTTAATAATTATTTTTTAATTTATTTAATGTGTCTTGCCATATAGAAAACCAAATTGAAGCCCCGACAAATGAAAGGCGGAATAATTGACGTGCAGACGAAAGCAGGAGGATGGGTATGGGGATGGGGATGGGGATGGGGCGGAGAGGCCTCACACGCACCTCGTTAGATGTGCCAGTTGACAGTTAGATGAATACTCGTTTATGACGCGGCAGCCCCAACATATAGCAGTGTTTAATTGAACATTTGCGTGCACAAGTGGGGCTGGCCGCTGCCAATCGCCGATTACTGAGTGAATGCAGAATGAAAGCAACTCGGACTCGGATGACACAAATATACCACTGGGAGATACATATACAGACACAGACAGAGACAGATAAAGAGCGACAATGAGACAATCTTACAAATCGATTGATAGAAAACTTTAAATGATATTCAAGCATTTGTGGGAACCGACAGCGCCTCAATGTTCTTCCATTTGTGGGTGTCAAGTGATCATTTGATCATTCCAGAACCGTTTGTGTCCCACCACTGAGTGTAGTTCAAGGCAGTTCAAGGGCATTCAACCGCTTAACGGGTTTTCCAGCATACATTTTCGAGCTTCATTTACGAATTGAGTCTCATCGCATAATCTATTTCAATCTATCTACCTGCTGAACCATCTCCGAATACATTTATTCTTACATCTTTCGATGCATCTTTTTATATTGTCAAGAGTTCTGTCTGTGTTCCTTCTTTTGTAGCTTAAAAAGTGTCTCTTTCGGTCTGAACCATGGAAATAAAAGTAAATATCTAACTCTATCTATCTAACTATCTATCTAACTATCTATCTAACTCTATATCTATCTTTTTCTTTGTCTATAAGGGTATATCTAGTATCTTTCGATACCTAAATTCAATCGAGTAAGGCAGTAGAACTAGTTTAAACATGGCTAGTTGTGGGTAATCTTTCTAGAAAACCATGTCCCATTGCTGATCCATCTTATGATTCTTTCTATCTATTCTATCTATTCCACGGGTATACCCCATGTAATCTATGACTATTTCCCTCTATTAATCAATATATCACTCATCTTTCGATCTCTTTTTATACTGAAGCCCTATCAGAGCCTGGCCGATGCAGATCTTTATCGTATTTACAGGTTTCCAGCATTATCGATACGCCATTACAGAGTCCATTAGCACAGTTTGCTGTCCATTTAGGTGACTGGCAGTTGCAGTCTCAATATGGATTATTTTGTATTAGATTAGGTTTAGTTTTCCTTCCAGGTTCCACAAGCACAGAGCACTCACAGTATATTTTCGTTGTTGGAATTTTGTATAACTTGTATAACACACACACACACTCACACACCACCAAGCCGCTCAAAACGAAACAAAAAACGATCACAGTTTTATTGAGATACGGATTGGTAGGGTGTCCTATCCGATTCGGCTTGTTCTTGGGGCAGTCTTTCGAGGCATCCTCCTCGCTGCCTGGCCAATTGATTATTTGAAACTGAATGGCTGGAAGATGCGGCCGAGGCTACCTTTTCATGGTTGCGGTTACTGGATCTCGAGCTGGCTTCAGCATTGAGCTCAATCTTGTTGCTACTGTTTGATGAGTGTTGTTGCCGATGTTGCCGATGTTGCTGTTGTTGCTGTTGTTGCTGGTGTTTCTGTTGTATCTTGCAGTTCTTTGGTACACTGAAACTGTTAATTAATTCGCGTTCCGATTCGTTAACTGCATTCGAAATACTTTGAAGCGCGAAATTTTGTCGGCTTCTTCTGGCTGACCAACGCGTTGCAAGCTCTCTGAGGTGGCACTGGCAGGGGCTGCTGGGCAGGAGGCGACTGGCAGGCGGAGGCGGAGGCGGAGGCGTGGCCGCAGCTTTCAGGCCCGAGCTGCTGCATAGAGCATCAGAGTCCGAAGAAGCGAGACGAAACCGTGCCAGATCCCACATTTGGAATCAAAATTCAAATTCATTCTTTGGCCGCATGTTGCTGCCACTGCCACTGCCACAGACACTGCCGCTGCTGCTGCTGCTGCTGCTTGTAACGGTGCGATGCGATGTGGGTAAACGGTAACAGCACCACCAGTGCAGCAGAGCAGAGTCAAGACGGAACGGAACGAAATGAAATGAAAGCACCGTTCGCTTCGACTGGCCAAACGCGAATAGCCAGCGCCAACATCGAGTGGCCAACGCTGGCAGTGCCACTGCCACCGCCACTGCCGCTTCCAACGCTGCCCCAACCAGCTCAACCCAAGCTCAGCTGGGACAGCCATCAGCCACCAGCAGCCGACTCGCCGAGCGGGGCAAACCAGCTTTCTGCCCCAAGAAGCGCTGCCTCGAGCCGCTGCCTCTCCACGCAATATTATCAAATGGTCTACGCCGAAGGCTGGCGTAAGAGTTATCCGGCTGAATAGACAAGCGGATCAGATCAGATCAGTCTTCGTTCTTCTCTATCCATCAGAGCTGCATCAAAATATCCACACACCACATACAATCTATACTACGGACAGGAAATAGTGATATTTTTTGTAGGTATAATCTATGCATATCCAGCCAAAAACACAGCATATAACTTATACATATATAATAATTAGGGTACCATGATATATACTAGATTACCATTAAAACATATTATTAAAAATATATACAAAAATTATTACAAAAATCTGGATAATGACTCGCCAAATCCGAACCACTGTCTAGTTCTATGCATCCCAAGCTAGAACTCATCGAGCAGGCCTCGTTCTTTAGCTGCAATCCCTGGGGAAAGGATTCAATAGCATCTCCAGCGTTCCGCATCGTCTTTGCATACAAAATTATCGAATAGCTTAAGGCGGGGGTTGCTTCGAAAGTTATTGTCTGTAAAGCGAATAGGTTTCGTGCTGGCAAGGAATACATTCTCCGAAGAGAGCCAGTAATCGGTTAGAACCAGTGAAATCTATCCGCTGGCCAGAACTGATCGAACAGCCGGCATCGCAGCCAGCTTTTGTTGCTTTCTGTGTCGCTGTGTCAGCTGTCATGTCAATTGATCTGGCTCGGCGCGATATAAATATGAATTTCAGCTAGCATCTGACCAGATCGGACCAGATCCAGGGTGCCAGGAGAGAGGGGAGATGGCAATTGGAGAGAACAGAATGGGAATGGAGTGGAGTGGAGTGGAGTGGAGATCAGGCTTTGGCATTGATTCTGATTCCTTGACTGGTCCGAGGTTGCTCCACTTCGATTCGAATGAAAGAAACTTGTTGCAACGGTGCTTTTGTGGTGCACAGTGGCGGTGCCGCCACAGCTCCACCGGCTCACCTGCTCACCGCTCACCGCTCGCCTGCCGTCATCCAGTTTGACTCCAATTGAAAATAGCACAAGATAGAACCAAACATGGCTTCAAAGCCGGCTGGAAGCTGCAACTCGCTTCGCTGGCTTGCCTTGCCTCAGTCATGTGGCCATGTGGCTCCCATTCGGAGCTGGAACAATTAAATGAATCTTCTTTGGACGCGTGCTCTTCGGGGCGATAGGAATTCGGGGTGAATCGAGTAGCCGGGCGGGGATCGTTGGCCCACTTGCTGGATCGCAGAGCACCTTCTGGCACGCCCTCCCCAGCTCCACATCATTCTTTCTTCATTGTTGGATGAGCTAATAAGCTTCAATTAGCGCATTTAATTGACTGTTTGGAGATCTCAAAATGTTCGATGGGGCCAAGACAATCATTGCTCCGCTCAAAATCATTCGGGAAACTAAACTCTGAAGGGGTTTTCCTTATGATAATCAGATCGTTGCTCTCTCTATTGAGCATTAAATATAGAAAACGGTTGAAATTATATTCTAGAAAACGCCCGGCATCATTGGAAAACAGTAATCGAAGAACACAGTGACCCATTCTTAAGAGCCCACTATATTTATCCAGCGCAGAGTTTCCTTTCCAGTATACAATATAAGTGGAGTGGAAGTAATTGCTTAATCGAAAGAAAACTCCATCGAATGGGAGCTTGGACAAAACAAGGAAATAATAAAATTCAAATGGGGGGACTACGACAATCGATCGTCGAGCTCCCCCACCATTTAGCATCGGATATTGGATATTTGATGCTGGATAAAACACATAAAGAACGACAGCAGAGCTTTCACTTCATACCACATTTGGCAACTTTTGGCTGCGATTTGACTTACCAAATATCCACAGATGCTGCCACCAGCAGTTGCACACAATCGAGGCAGCCGCGCGCGGCGGCATAGTGCAGGGCCAGCGCCCCTCCGTTGGGCCTTTCGTTCGCCGAAACATTCCCCGGATGGTGCAGTTGGCTGATGTTGCTCATGTTCATCATCTGGAGGGGTCCTGGTCCTCCGCCCAGGTACGAATCCAGCTGGTGAGCGTGCATTCTGTTCAGGTTGCTGTTGCTGTTGTTGCCGTTGCCGATGACCTTGTTGTTGCTGTGCAGATTGTTCAACTTCTGGCTTTTAACGTTGTTGTTGTTGTTGTTGATGCGGTTGTGCTTCAAGTGCAGATTCGAGCTTAGAGCATAGTCGTTTATGGTTCTGGGTAAATGAGAAAAACAATTGAATTATAGTAATATAAATATTAAAGGTTTTTTTTTTTAACTTTTTTTAAGGAGAGTTCCATCAATTTATTCATTTCAGGAAATTATATTTGTGCTTTAAATAATAAAGTCTTTTAGAATGGCTATATCGAATCGGCCATAGATGCTGATCCAAGCAACGCCAGATTAGTAGCAGCCAGAATTAAGGCTGTTACACATCTCATCAACATATGTACTTAATCTTAGTTAAAGATTTTACTCGCAGATACTTTGGCTGATAAAAAAAATACAAAAAAAAGAAAGGTTTTACATATAAAAGTGCATATGTTAATACCAGAAATTGTATACACAAAGTCCACCCCGATTCGCAGAGTTTTGCCATTTTGTAACCCAACTCCGAAATCTAATTGTGACTTTCTTCTGGCCCACTTTGGCTTATATCCTTGAATCTCTTTTGATAGTTTACATTTCTTTTACTGAGGAGTTGCTTAATCTTATATTATGTGTGATATTTTTGTACAATTTACTGCTGTTCTTCAATGGATGTCTTAGAGCTGGGGCTCTGAGATGCTGAGAGAGCAGTTGTATCGCCCAGAGACCATCGTATTGCGCAGAAAGTTCCTAATGGCTGCTCAGATTAGGGAAAGCAGTAAGACAAGACCCGCCATATACATATCTACAATCGCTAAGGAAACTAAAGTGATTCAAACGGAAGTGCATTAAAGCTTTCAAAAAATGTTGCCTACTTTTGCGCATGCGCTTGAAAATAAATTGCAGCCGACTTTGCTGCGGGAAAACAAAAGACTTGGGACACGAACTTGCGGGGCAACATGGCACTATCAGCCATTAATAAACCAGATGATGATCTCTCTTATCTTTTATATGTGATGAATAGACCTCGGATTTTGCATATTTGCATATTTTTAAAGGATTAAGATAGAAAAATTCTGATGACTCGTACTCGCAGCACCTCCGATCCTCCGATCCCCCAGCCAAGTGCTTTTCAAATATAGTCAAAGGAAATCAATTGAACAAAAATTAATAATGAGCCCACGACTATGCTGATGAATCAAATATGCAAAATCCGAGGTCTAGTGATGAACAATTGAAAAGCTTAAATGTGGAACTTATGGGCAACAATTCCCATTGATTTGAGCCCTGAAGAGTACATTTTCAGGGCAATAAAACAGGAAAATGTACGTCATATCGGTATAATGAAGGTGGGGAGCATGTAAGATGGGACAAATCGTTAAAGTTATTGAATAATTGGTTGCTATCCAACGAAGCACCTAAGCTATGTTACATTTGCATTATTTAAACAATGCAAAAAGACAGAAACAGTCCAATTATTTACACCGAAACAGCGGCTTACATTCGGCAAAACAAAATGATTAGATGCTCCTCTTAATTATTTAAGGAAGCACTGGCAATTAACGTTGATGGCATCTCTGTCTGGGGGCTCCTTCGACTGCATTGGCTGACTTCAGCGGGTGCCCTTTTCCAAATCACTAAACCGGGTCAAGTCTACTGCCTCCGCTCGCTCCAGTCGTATTTATGGCATTGCTGACTCACTTGATCGTTTGTCTCCTCCTCGTCGTCGTCCCCTGCCGTTTCCGCTGCGGAGCCCCAATCATAATGATACTCTCGTAATGATAAAACCAACAAAGCTGCCTGCCCCTGCCCCTGCACCTGCTCAACGAGAAAAACTAAACACACACGACCGAAAATTAATTGTTAGCAGCGAAGCTGGATAGGGGCTCGAGGCACAAGATACCCCTTGCTTTCATAATTGTGCCTTCTATTTAATAATAATATATTGTATTTATATTCACGCAGTGACACACTGCTCCTATATTCGGATATACCTTTCGCTGTTTGAGGAAAATGGGAAAAATGCTTTTCCGTTGTTGCTTTTGGTCTGCTTGCTCTGTGTGTGTTTGTGTTTGCTTTCCCAGTTTGGCGAATGATAAAGAAACAGAAAGCCGAGAAGACGACACTTTCTTCCAGTTTATTGCATCAACGGTAGCAAAATGGAAACGGGCCGGTAGCAGGTGTCAACGAAGCAGGGCGGCAGGTGCCACAAGCCGCCGGCAAAGCCAACAAACACCGGCCATAAACGCCGCACAGAAAAGTGAGGAAAAAGTGAAATAAACTATTTGGCAAGAGCATTGGGGGCCAGTTGGTCAACCAAACTGGCGAACAGGGTTAGGGAACATCAAGATCTGTTACGAGTCCCACAGATAAGACGATAGTGCTAAGGGGTCAACATTTGATGCACGCAGCCGGACAGAGGGTCAGAGCAGGCTTCACTTTGGAAAAGACTTCTCTCCTCTGATCTCCTCGTGATTTGTATGACATTTAGCACATTCATGGCAAATGGAAGGCAGATATCAGAGTGCCACGGGGAGTATATGCTTCACAGTGGAGCAGTTCTACATCAAGGACTATTTTATTGCCTGTGGCTGGCAGAAAATACTCAGCAAAATCATTTTTAGCAGACCAATATGTGTCCATCATTTCTCCACTCATTAACGTTATATCTAGTATAAGAAGAAATCATTGGGAAGATGTCCAAGGGAAGAGGTAATAACTGAGAACGGAAGATGATAATCAATTTTTGAATACCCACTCTGCCATTATGGAAGAGCATTGGAAGTTATGGCAGCATGGGAAATTTGCACCTTCCATTTGTAAGCCAGAAGATTTATATGGGAACAATCACTAGAGAGATGCTGCTCTTCCGAGCATAAGCAACAAATGAACACTTAATAGTGCGAAGCACTTGAATCACTCGGGAAAAAATGAACAAACTTTGAGCTGATTTGGCTCGGTATTCCTTAGTCACACTTCACTGTACTGCAGATCAATTAAGTTTTGGAGTAGAGTTATTTTAAAAGTGTTTTTTTCTTTCTTGTTTTCTGTTCTCGTTTACCGTTCGAATTTCTGTCTGAACAGAAGATTGGAGGAGATTTCACTGCGTCCGAGGTTTACCTTAATTTGATGGCAATGTCGCGACACTTGACGCATGGCACCTGACCCGCCGAAGGAGTGGCAGCGGAAGCTGCTCTCTTGGTCCCTGGACTGGCGATCGTGGCATACAGGGCCTCCTCTGGCTCTGGTTTTTCGGCCTCCGTATCGGCCTCCGTTTCACTGGCAAAATCGACCACCAGCTGCTCCTCCTGTGGTCCCTGCTGCTGCTGCCGTCTGCTGAAGTACCCCACATGCTGGTCGACACCAGCATTGGCGTCCAGGAGCACCCGCTCGTAGGCGGCGCTCTCGTTCTCACTGAGAGCGAACCGCTGCTCGAACACCCGCACGGGCAGCGAGCTCTTGCGCAGCACCTCCATCCGCTTGTGGCGCAGCTCGATGGAGAAGATGAGGCGGACCCGGACGAGGCGCCGCAGGCCTTGCTGCGTGGATTGGGCCCGCTGCAGGCGGCGCCGTTGCTGCCGCAACTCGAGCTTCTCTAGGCCGCGCAGCGACTTGGCATCCACCACCAGGCTGTGGCTGTGGCTATGGCTGTGGCTCTGGTTGTAGTCCGCCACCGAGGTGAGGTCCAAGGCGGAGCGGGTGCGTCGCCACGGCACCAGATCGAAGTGGGTGCCCGGCCAGGGATGGAAGTTGACCTGGCTGACGGTCTTGTCCTTGTCCTGGCGCAGGATCCAGTCGGAGCTGGAGCTGGGGCTGGGGCTGGGCTTGCCTGCTCCTGGCTGTAGCTTAACGTGCTCGTTGCGGGCACTGGCCTCCGGCTTGTGGCGTTTGTAGCGCGGCACGAGAGTCGCCTCCAGCATGCGTGCATCCAGGCCGTAGTCGCGACGCAGCTGCTCGAGCTCTTTGCTGCTGGCCGTGTACTGAGCACCGTTCCACACGATCACCGGCGAACTACTGGGCATGGTCCCGTCCCGTTCCCAGTTCTCCCAGTTCCCGATTCCCGCTTGGCGTTCTCGTTAGCGTTCTCTGCTCTTTCTCTTGTTTTGTCGCAATCCGCTGATGGCTTTTAATTTGTTTTTTACTATGGTTTTTCTTTTTTCTTTCGTTTTCCGGTTTCCGTTCGATGTCGCGTTGTCGCGTTTGTCGCGTCTGCCTTCCGTGACGACGTCGACGCAAATGTTGTTTGGCCAAAAATAAAACTCCGACTCCGACTCCGACTACGAGTCTGAATCTGAATCTGAAACAAAACACACAAAATCCTATGCAAAAGTTCCGCCAACTGCGCAGCTGGCGTCGCTGCCAGCGCCAGTGTATGATTAAGAGTTTTTTTTGTTTGTGTTTTTGTTTTTATTTTTGTATGTTGTACGTGGTATTATTGTTATTGTTATTGTTGGTGGCGGCGGCTGTGGCTGTGGCGGTGTTTGCTCAACATTGAAGAGTCAGTCGAGAGCTGAAGAGCTCTCTGAATGAGCAACGCAACCCCCCATTTCATTGTACAATATTACAGTCGTATTTATTTATTTTTCACGCTCACTGCCATGTCAACTCTGCCTCCTGTTGCTGCCACTGCCGCTGCCGCTGCCGCTGCTGCTAGAGGGGCAGTCATCGCTTCCAAATGTTTCACTTGGCTGCGCACGCGCCAACACCAACAACAACAACAACAACCAGAATACACCCCACCCCCCCACCATCGGGGCCGATCAAAAATTTGTTGTTAATAATGTACTCGAATAGTCGTTATATTGTTGCTGCTGTTGCAGGGGCATTCAGCAATTTCAACTGCGAGTTGAGTTCTGTTCTCGGCTAATTGACAGCCGCCGTTGTCCAAGCCAATTGGCCAACAATGACGGCCACAACAATACAGATAAATGTACAGATGATCGCACTAAACAGATGTACATACAAGTATCTGGAGAGCATCCTCCACTACACAGTGTGGGGTCTTTCCTCGAGCTTAGATGGTGGCTTGCACTGGGATCCTGGGTCCTGCTGGAAATATTTCCGCCACTGCCAAAAACACTCATATATTGAATACATAAATACATACAAATCTGTTCAAATGTGCACTTGAATGCATTTCAAATCCAAAGAAAGACTGAAGTGAAAAAATTCCAATAAATTCGGATAGAATTCTTAAGGAAGATCTGGGTTTTGCATTCACTAGCTGCCATATAAAGGGTCTCTTAGATCGGTTGAGGCAGCTACAATTGCATGTGTCTGAAATGTATCTCGTATATGGAATACTATTTATAAGAAACTGTGGATTTATGCATCATAGTATAGCAGGGAATCTTCTCATAGAAGATAATTATCTTGTCTGTTTTTGGATGAAAATATATGGCAGTCAAAATCAAGAGAGATCCTACCGGTATGTTTAGGTCTCTTAGGATAAAACTGGATATTTTGTGCGGAATAAAATATTATCCACTTGGAATGGTACAGATTTTCGATTGTAAGTCTATTTTTTAATATTTATTTAAGTGGGTTTAGGTGGGCGGAGCTCTTGTCTACATCAATCCATCGAGTTATATGGAAAATATCGTTAGTCGAATAGCTGACTAAAGGCAGTTGATGGGGCTAGGTAAAGATAGATTGAATCAATCTTTGGGTGTATTTAGCTAGTTTGAAAAGGGATTTAATGAGATATTTTTGCCAACTCTCTACAGCTTCTGTTGGGAGCCAGTTAACGGTTCTGTCCCCTCATGGTGCATTGTAATCTGCATGCAAATATCCATCTCAATGGAGACATCACACCTGATAGTGCCTTGCGCAATCCCTCCCCAGTAGAGCCCGCGGGCAAAGTGTGCCAAGAGCTGTACAATATCTATATATTAATCGAATATCTATATACAATATTATTGATATTGCTCTGAATGTATGTCAGATGGTTTTGATGGACAGTGTCTGGCATGTGAATGCGATTTCTGCAAGCGACATTTGTCAACCTTCGGCAGATGAGCAGCCAGGCCAAGCCAAGCCAAGCCAACCCAAGCGAATTCATTTCAAATTTCAAATTTGAATTTGAATGGAATGAATACTCGTACGTGAAATGCGGATGGAGGCGCAGTCAAAACAGCCAAGGCAGAGATCTATTATAACGTGCTCTGTTATATTTGCATTATGAGTGCTGGATGCTTTATGGCCCAGGCGAGCCCTCAATGACAACCTTTCTAAGCGGCATCTGCACGTTGTGTTGTTGAGTTGTTGTGTTGGACACTAGCCCCATTGCAGCGCCCCCAAGGGTTACTTGGAGCCCACTTAATGGGCCTTAATCTCTGACGTTTTCATTTTCATTTTCATTGGCCTTTGTGGGTCACATTGCCAAAGCAGAGATTGGACAGAGCTGGACAAGCCAGCGCGATTATGCAAAATGGAGCTGCAGCCGAAAGCGAAGGTTGAGAATGCTTCCAGACCCGAAATCCCAAAATCCCAAAACCCAGCTCCGGGGGAGAGAGAGGCAGTGGGTGTCAAAGGCCGTCGGAACACCATTCAACCAGAAATCATGACACTCTTCACGCCTTTTGCACATGACTCTGCCGTGACTCACGCTCGAACCAGTGGCAGGGGTGCCAACAGGAACCCAAGGGTGCACTGTGGGCAAAAACTGCCTTTTTTTGCTACTTCTACCACCCGTAATATTGTGAAATCATATTGAACTTTTGCCCATAGTGGGCTGGCCCAATCACGAGTCCGAAGAAGATCCGACTCAGTCAATGGGAACACCCCAACTAGCCGCCCAACTGCAATTACGAGTACCCCTCTCCATCCATCCCCCAGCGACTCGAGCCCTCCACAGATGCCTCCAGTTCCTTCCATCGCCCAGAAAATCGCTGCCACGCTTGAGTTGATCAACGTCAAGAACCTTCGAGAACTTGTATCTGTGTTGGGTAGTACTACTATGCATGCTTTTAAGATACATAATTGATGGATGGGAGGCCCCAGCGATGGTCGAGCCAGGTACAAAGTACTCTGCATGTCTAAATTGAAAAACTTAATAAAGAATAACAAAAACATTATTCCGCTTGATGCAACCCAATGGGATATACGCCATGGAAATTACTTCGAAATGTATCATTATATATAATTTTATTAAGGCATAAAGATGGCATTTAAACGACACTAAGTACTTACAAAACCCAAGTTCCCTTGAACTGTGGTTATTATCTAGGCAAATGCTAGATGTTTAAATAATTTAACAAAGAACCACTAAAACTTAGAATTTAAAATTGAATATCAGCTAAACGGCGAAATGCTAATAAGTACTGGAGCGCGATCAAATATTTATATAAAAAGCTGGTACCTTTATAAGACTTTTTTCATGGGAAGAGACAAATATACACTATTTTTTTAATTATTATAAATAATATTAATATTAATGGACTAAATAAATCCTTAAAATATATGTTTGGTAACTTAAAAAAGACTTTAAACATGCAAAATGGATCCAAAAAAATAAGCAATAAACAATTAGAAAACTGACAAAAAAATGACAGCAATTGTTGTTTGATTTCTTGTTTGTTTAATTTATTTTTTTAAGAATTCTTAGGGAAATATATATAAATCATACCTCTGATATTTTCCTAAAAATAAAACAGAATATTTTCTTATCTGTCCGGAGCCAGAATAAATATTTTGTAATGGGAAAAGTGTGAAGTTTTCCCTCTCAGCTTTCACGTCAAGAACTCCATCTAACGCTAAATGTATGTGCAACTTTTGGAGCAAAGTATCTGCCGGATAAGTTGGTTAAATAGTATTCAAAAACCGAAAACAAACAAACCAAAACACCCGAAATCACCTCAAACAAATGCTTCAGTGATTTTGAGGGGTAAAACCATAAAATGAGGAATAATTTCTTCATGCAGGTGAGTTGGAAAATAGTGTACGTCGTATTTGGTGGGTAACGGGGCCGGTGCCCCATTCGGCGGATGGGAAATGATCGTAAAACAGCCAAAGCCCCAGCCCCAGCCCCAAGACCCAACCCCAACCCCAACCCAAAACCGCAACCCAACAATAATACCATTAATAGTGGAGCAATAAAATAAAAGTAGAAAACGAAACTGTTGCTGCTTTTTAATTATGAATTTTTAGGCAATTCTGCAAAGCGAATGGGGTTAGGTAGGAGAGAACCAGGGAGGGAGAAGAATTGCAACAGCTCCATAGAGTTTCCATTGGTTTACCCTAGGAATAGGGCCAAAGTCTCTGTATGTTCTCCCTCAGCCGATATTTTACTGTACTGCTAGAATTTTCATGGGTAGAAAGACTCAGAGAGAGGTGACAAATAGAGAGGGTCCCTGTCGTAGGTTTGTTCAATGGAATATGTTATGGTATCAATGGATTCTTATTTGGATGTTTATAATCAATGACTGTATCTTTCAAGTGGCGATGCCATTGCTCTACCATCAAGTGGCCCGTGTGACACCATCAGAAGGCTGTTACGCGCGCATCCCTTCCGCCCAACCGACCGAGGGGCGCTGCCGCATGACGCGCGACACCTTAAAAATTGTATTCCCTCAGAAGTGTTTTATGCACTGTACATCCTGCACATATGTACATACATTAAATTACTCAACTCAACTCAAACATTTCTTAAGGAAAAAAAGTATGTTTGGGAGGAATGTTCTAGCATCTTTTCCAAGTGTCAAATCGGGGACTTTCTTTGGCTCAGATTAGCAGAATCTCAGATCTGAGTACCATAATCTACAAAGATGATCTCCCCCTAGAGATTCAGTGAGGAAGTGAGTCAAGATTGCTTGCGGATGCTTGTCGGAGAGTCCATTGGTTGGGGGCCACTGTTCGAATACTTTTACTTTTCGCTTTGTTTTATTTCATTATGGATTTCTATTGTTTTTTTGCCTGCCTGCCGGGCCGCCTGCTGCCCATCAAAAGCAGAACAAACCGCTAGTATTCGATCTAACGGTTAGGGGCAGCGATCGGTGGCTTCGTTTTCGTCTCTCGTCGCCAT